CCAACCATGGCCATATCAAATCCCTCAAGCACAACAAAACATTCTACCAGTGAACATTTAGTTAGCCGCACTTGCTCCTCCGAGGCCACCAATGGTCATTCCAATAACGGTTGGGGGCAACCTTTTCCAAGGGAGCCACTTCTTGACCAAGGAAAAAGGAATCGTGGCAGGAACAACTATGCAGATGCCAACCCATTGTTAATGGCAGGTGGAAGGCATCAAGTGGCCAATCAAACTCAAGGTTGGCCAGACAACAACCCTTCACGACCTATGGCACTTGATAGAGGCCAATTTGCAGAGTTTCTCCAACAAGAATTTGGTCTAACTCGAAGGGTTAGAAGACAGACTTACAGAAGCCCTATCCAAAGTTCACTGATGATGTTGAGTATCCAAGGAATTTTAGAATTTCAGAATTCGCAACATTCAATGGAAAGGGCGAACAGTCCACATTGGAACATATCAGCCGTTCTACTGTCCAATGTGGAGAAATAACAGCCATTCTACCAGTTCAGGTTCAACTTCAAGTGGAATCCCAAGTGTAGAACCTTCCATCAGTAGTAGTTCAACCACTTCCACTACAGGTGCAGGTTCCACCTCAGGTGCAGTGTCTTCCACCAACAATAGTCCAACCACCTCAATTTGAGGTTCCATTTATGAGCATTCAACGAATTACAACCATGCCACCAAGGCTATCATGGCCTTTCTAATGGTGTTTGAAGGACAACCCCCTCCAAAGAAATTTCAATGGAGCAACAACCTTTTAGTAGACCTAAACCCACTTCTAGTGGTGTTTGGGGGGAAAAATATGGCTAATCAACTATTTATTTGGCCAGAAGATGTACAAATCCGTCTTCCTCGTAAACCTCCAGACCCTAGGGGGCAACAAATTGGATGAAGGAGTATCGCCCTTTCATTTATGAAGACTGAAAATCCGTAGTGCTTCAACTAGCCACCTAAAGTGGCTAGTGCTTCCTTTTCAAATAAACCAAAAAGCTGGAAATGAAGCATATGGCCACACATGGCCATTCCAATAGTTAAGTCCGAGCATATGAAGGATCATTCATTCAAGGGATGAAAGACTAAGTACTTGGAAATAAGTGCATTGGCCAAAGCCATGAAGTGGACCTAGCTGTATTTCCAAGATCGACTAATTTCCTAAGTATAGAACGTTTCATTGAAAAGGGACTATAATACATAAGGCTGCAAGTGAACCGAGCTGTTCATGAATAGCTCGCGCTCGGCTCGTTAAAAGGTCGGCTCGGGCTCGTTCATTTAGTAAACGAGTCGAGCTCGAGCCCGATTTTCAAGCTCGTTTAGTAAACGAGCCGAGCTTGAGCAACCTTGAGCTCGGCTCGTTAGGCTCGTGAACAAGCTCGTTAAGAAAGCCCATCTGTATTACAATTTTATATTTAAAAGGTTTGGTCCATATGAATATAAGTTTGGGCCAATTCACATAATGGCCCAAAGAATTATAAGACTTTAGCCCACATTCAAATAAAACTACATCTCAACCATTAAATACTTATTCATCTTCTCAGCCGTTGATTTGTTTTAAGTTAAAAGATAAGTATAACTGTATAACCCTAAAATAAGAAGTCTCCAGCGGTAGCGGCAAGGGATCTTCAGATAATCTAATAAAGAACGGTAGCACCATTCTCACTCCTTTAAACGGATCTTGATGTCTCTCTCAAATGCACGTTTAAGTTCAGGCAGTGGAATATATCTTTAGATCGAGTCCCTACAATCTTGTAAGGTGTGATTTTGATCTTGAAAATTTGTTTGTATTTTTTTTTTTTTTTTTTCTTCTTCTCCGTTTTTGTTGGAGGTGGAGATCGGATTTCATGGAAGAGACCGATCAGATTTCATGAAAGATATGTGTTGATCTTGGTGTCTCTCTTAAACGTACGTTTAAGTTCAGGCAGTGGAATATATCTTTAGATCGAGTCCTTACAATCTTGTAAGGTGTGACTTTGATCTTGAAAATTTGTTTGTATTTTTTTTTTTCTTCTTCCCCGTTTTTGTTGGAGGTGGAGATCGGATTTCACGGAAGAGATCGATCAGATTTCATGAAAGATATGTTTTGTTTCTTATATTGTGATTATAGGGTATGTAACCGAGCCTGAGCTTTTCGCAATTCTACCGAGCCCGAGCTCGAGCTCGACTAGCCCAAGCTCGCCCGAGCACTTCCCTGAAGATGACGACCGAGCCCGAACAACCCAAAGCTCGGCTCGGCTCGGTTCATTTGCAGCCCTAACAATACATGGTCCAGGTTCTATTCATACTGGAAATTACTCATTTTGCTTGTTTTCCATGCATTTCCTAATAGTAGTTAGTTTTATTTTCCGAAGTGCAATATAAGTTATGAAGAACAATGGAAGCTACAATGGCAGCCACTATGGAAGGTTTTTGTTATATGCCAAAGCCTCACTCAAAATTAAAATCCCACGCCTTGTGATCGAGTACTCCACGAGGCATGGAAATTTGGGGGGCGTATGTTTACACCATAAATATTTTCCAGCTGGAATGGTTGTTGTCGCCAATCCCAATGGAAATGTAAGCATTTCCAATTGGAAAAGGTGATATGTAAATAAAGGTGCAATCATGAAGCAACACGTGGCTTCATCAAATGAAGCCATTTGGTACAAGTAATTACACAGGGACACGTGTCAGCCAAGGAGGTAAGTAATTACCTGTAGTTTGAAAGACATGACTTTCCAAGTGGACATGTGGCAGGCAGAGAAGAAAGCAGTTACTTGTAGTTAGAAAGATGTGACTTTCTAAGTGGACACGTGTCAGCCAATGAGGGAATAATCAGTTATTTGCAGTTGAAAAGTTGTTGCTAATGGGATGCGTGTCAGCCAAAGAGGAAAATAGTTACTTGCAGTTGGAAAGACGTGTGACTTTCCAAGTGGACACGTGGCACACTTACCTGCAAGTTATGGGCAGTTACAGGCAGTTAGGAAATTGTGGCCCATTCCATTTGGAAGTTCAGAACGTGGCTAAAAGACTTCAATTGGAATTGAACTACCAAAACCACTCCTTCAAAACTGAAATTCATGGGACATCATATTCTTACACATGTCAACATTATAAGAAAACTAAAGAAGACATGGGACACGTGGCATGATTCGAAACTTCGGTGGAATTTCTCAATTGCTGCTGGAAACCGCCGCCTTTCCATCTTGGCAGTTCTAGAACGTGGATGAAGGCTTGAATGTATGCATTCAACTGCTAAGACCACTATTTATCAGTTGTAGATCATGGGAAAACATGATTTTACACATGGTAACATTGAGAGAAGGCTGAAAGAGCATGGGACACTTGGCAGTCCGAGGAAAGGCCAAGTGTAAGCTGCTAAAACTGCCATATTTTCAACTGCTGCAAAGAAATTCTATAAATAGAGCACTTAGGCTTAACATACAAACCCTGTTCAAATCACACAGCAAAAACAACACTTAAACTATTACATTTCATATCTCTTTACATTCATGTAATGCACCTTCAATATGTTTAATTCAAGTCCTGCACTTATTATTCTTACTTTCCAGCACCTTACTTTGAAGTCCTGCACTTTTAATACCACTTTCCTTTCCACTAGCCATAGAATAGTCCAGAAATCTTTTTTCAAGGCAAAAAGAACCTCCGAAGGTGGTAATTTCAGTCATTCGTACAATCGCCTGATCCCTACAATTTCCTACTAGATAATTGTTCGGATATCCACTTCGGAACGATAACAGTTCCTGGCACGCTCGACATTCACCCTCCTTTCTGCACTTGGAAAAGATCACGGTTTTTAAGAGCTGAACAAGTTCGAGTTTTATTATTGGATTTTACCCTCCCAAAAAGCCTCATACCAATCAAAGTGTACAAATCTTGCATATATTGCACTTTTCCTTTCCACACCCAGGCGATATGGGATTGCGCACCACTATCTCGCCCAATGTGATAGCCTATCAATGTCTCTTGCACCCACCTACAAAGTCATCACAATCATTCTCTTAAAGGTCCAATGTCCCCGTTGGCCATACTTCCAATTGAGTCAGACTTTGATACCATTTATAACAACCAACTACACCACATGGTATAATATTATCCGTTTTGGACCTGAGCCCACACGGTTTTGCTTTTGGATTTTACTTCAAAAGACCTCATACTAATTGGAGTGTACAATTCCTATATATATAACATTTCTCCTTTCTATACTCAAGAGATGTAAGATTATACACTTGTAGCTCACCCAGTATTGTAGTATGCTAATGCCGTTTGCACCCGTCCATGGCACACTTACCCATAAGATCGTCACATGGAGGATTTTGTCCAAAACGAACTTGACTTAGTGAATCCACGTGTTATGCTGTGAAGACGACAATGTCCTTGAGGGCTTCAACCGAGGTAGACAGTTCATCGAGTTCTAATTAACCACAATATTGAATCCCGAGTTTTTCGCCATCGCCTCCACCTCGCTCAACCGGATTTTCAACACAAACACGACGATATCTGCCAAACTATTCGTCATGAATTCCCGAAATTCAAACTTTACACCAATGGTTTAAGCGAATAGAGCAAGCTTCCAATCCATAATTTATTCAGGGGAAAAGAGAGGAAGAGGGAGTGTGAAATTGGTAAGGAGGGGTTGGTGTCATATCAAGGGCATTTTAATTCTTTTAAATTTCTAATATTTTGAAATAAAAATATTAAAAAATTAGAGATAAATTAACATTTATCACACTTGCGACAATATTATTTAGGAAAAAGAGATTTAGGACACGAGTGATACATTCAAAAGTATCTGTGTGTGAGATTTGGTCAAAAGCTCGTGTCATTGAAATTAAACCTTCTTTATCACGGATATTATAAGTTCCAACAATAATTAAACTCTGGAAAAGGGCAATTTGGTACACAAAAAAATGCAACCGTTTTGGGATTATGAAAAATCAATGGGGGCATTTTGGACAATGCATTCCAGCCGACTTGCTTAAAGTGCCGAGATCGCTCAAACTAGGGTTTTGAAAAGCGCCACACTGTCTGCGAGTCTCTCTGTGCTATATCTGTGACTTAACGCCGTGGAAACCCTAGTTTCGAAGCTACAGCTGAGAGAGGGAGAGGATGGGTCACTCGAACGTCTGGAACTCGCATCCCAAGAACTATGGCCCTGGATCGCGAGCTTGGTAAGTTATATTTATATGTACTTATAGCTGGGGGTAAAGCTTCATTGAATTCAGGTGCTATATATATGTATATTTATATAGGTGTAAAAGTGATGCTAATCTGTTATTGACCGTACAAATTTGAAGTATTATATTCTCTTGTCGTATGAAAACTTTCACTTCCTGGAGAAAATGAAAAGAAAACAAATGTTTAAGAAGTTTTCATGAGGGTTGTGTTTGCTTTACCTTAGAGTTTGTGGGAAACGCACTTCTTTCCTGGGAAAAAAATGAAGCTTTCTGTTTAATTTTCTTGCAAAGTAAACGCTGGAACTGTTAGAAAACGAAAGTTCGCTATTTGATTGATTAGTTATTACATTTTTTTGTCAAGTTGAAGTTATGCATTTTCCTTTTTTTTTTAGTTAGTGCGTCTTAAAAATCGGTTGCAAGAGGCAGCACCATAGGTTATAAAACCTCCACTCTAGGAGCTTTAGACTCATCCGAAAATATAGCAGTATATTTCAACATCCAGTCATGCCATGATTTCATGTATCCAAAAAAAAATCCAATATCACAGGAGCAAGAAATGTCACCTAGCAAACTTCATTCCACTAGTATCCATTTATTCAACCCAATTGACAAGCAAACCTGTGACGAACAATGGAATTAACCTTAGTCCTAAGCGAGATGGTATTCTAATAGAGCAAGTAAACAAGCAGTAGTTGATGAAATTTCTGTTTAGGACCTGAGGTTTACCCATGGTATTTATTTTCCGTTTGGTGTTGATGTTGTAATGAAAAAATGTTTTATTTATTTATTTTTATTTTTATTTATTTATTTTTTGTCAATAGAGTTGTCACAAAATTGTTGCTAGTAAAATCATGGTATGTGTTTGTTGATGTATTATATATATAATTTTCATAATTAAAGCACCTTTTAATATTTTTTAAATCATTTTCATTTTAATTTTATAATTCTATATTGGAGTCTTCTTGCCTTGGATAACAGGACTTTATAAAATAAGGGATAAAATTGTCTTTATACAAATAAAAAGGGATACAACTGTCCAAGAAAATATTGTTTTCTAGAATATAGAACCTCTACCGGTAACACAGTTTTAAAAAAGAAATTTTAGCTTCATTCAAAAGCTCGAGTGAGCTAAAATCTCTACTAATTGTTTATTTATTTATTTGTTGTTACCGAACACTTTTAAAAGCAAATTTTCAAAATAAAAGCATTTTTTAAGTGGTTCAATAGCAATCTCAAAATGGGCCTTTAATGTACTTTGCACTAAACCCTAAGGGCTAAGACTATGGTAAATCAGTTTAGTTAGCGACATAGATGCTTATATATGTGTTTAGCTTGGTGCAAGGCTCTTGTTATTTTAAAATTAAAAGTTGCATAACGAGCTGGGACTCAAAGGTTAGAGCCAAACTTGGCTTGACTTATCGTCATCATAATCATCCTTGCTTTTGTCCAAATAAATGTAATCGCCCACATGCATAACGTGCATTCTCATTTTTAATTATTTCATTTCATGTTAGTTTTGACCGGCTTTGATGCCTCTTCTTAGATTCTATACGAAGTTACAACTACTCTTTCCTTTATGATAGGCGCATCAAAAGGTCTACATTCTATGCGTTCATACCATCTAAAGTTTATTCTCTATTCTTTTGTCACTTTTAGGCATTATGTTTAATCTCTCCCTCTCACTTTGATTAGTAAATATATTTTTCTAGCAAATCCTATTATCTACCTTTACTTTCTTACTTTAGTTACGTAAATTCATTGTTGTTTGTTGAAAATGCCAAACACTTTACCCCATATAAGAAGGAAAGTTTTGAAAATGAGGTTTTAAGGTGAAAATGCCCACTTACTTGGAATGGGCCTTAAAATGCAAAATGAGAGGTTTAGAAGGGATAGTTTAGAAAATGACCATTTGAGGATGAAAATCACCATTCTATGTAAAATGGGGTTTTAAAATGCAATGGGTGAGGTTAGAAAGATGAATGTTTATAAAACAACCATTCGATGATGAAGATAAGAGTTTTAATGGGAAGTGTTTAGGAGAGGGTGATTTGTGTAAAAATCAAGAGGGAAGAGAGGGAGGAAGTGCATGTAGGAATCCTACAAGAGTCATCTAGCATGTTGAAAATTTGTTATTATAACAACATGACGCAAATGCCATTTTATTGTAATAAGCATGCTTGTAAAAGTGTGTGGGTGCGAGTGGGTTAATTTGAACACATAAATTCACACAAAAATGTAATCTAACAAGAAAAGTAAACTTAAGGGGGGTTCTAAGAGGGTTTTAATCAAGGTGGGTAGGTGGCTCATCACAATTCTTCGTTCTTCCTTTGGTAGTCTGTTTTGCCATTTGACACCCCTACAATTGGGATAATCCCATGAGAATTATGACGAGGGTTTGAGAAATGGCACAAACATGATCTAGGGGTCCATCACAATTCTTCATTCTTCCTCTGATAGTGTGTTTTGCCGTCCGACACCCCTACAATTGGGATACTCCTATGAGAATTGTGATGAGGGTTTGAAAAATGACACAAACATGATCTAGGGGTCCATTACATAAATTAAAAACATTATGGAAATGTAAGGAAAGTAAATGCAATGAAAAGTACAGCACATGCAAGTTTATCCACAACACAAACAAATGCTAAGAGTTCAGAAGGGTGCCTCCGTGGGCAAAAGAAAAATGAGTAGGTAGAAGATGATGCAAAGTAGAGTTTAGGAGGTGATTACCTTGTTGGAATACCTCTTTGTGGATTAAATTGAGAGAGAAGGGTTCAAAGCCTTGTTTCACCAATTAGATATTGAGAGAGAGTTGTTTTAGTGAAGGTGGGTCTAGCTGCCAATTTTTTGGGTAGATTTGGGGGGTTAAGGGAGTGTTTGGTTTGAGATTCTCTCTGCATTGGTAGAGAGACAAAAATGGGTTATTTCTTGAGAGGGGTTGTAGAGAATTGAATTCTCTGGAATTTGAGAGAGAGAGAGAGAGAGTCTCTTGGAGCTATATAGGCATTATAAGGGTTTTTAGAGAAAATGGATGATGAAAGTGAGAGGAGAGGAGGCTATTTAGAGACAAAATGACCAAAAGGTCATTAATGAAAGGCATAGTGGCCGCATCTAGGGGGAGTTCTCTCTCCATTTTTAATTAATTTTTTTGTGTCCTCATCAGGGTGATGAGTACACTTCCAAAATAGGCTTGTATTTTCATGTCCTTTCCAGGGTGTGATGAGGACATTAACCAATTAGGCTATTTTAAGGGCGTCCTTACCAAGTTGACGAGGACGATGACAAAATAGGTTAATTTTGAGGTGTCCTCACCGGTGATGAGGACAAAGGCAATTCTTGTGTCATATTGGCACCACACAATCAATGTTGACCAAGACGTTAATAATTTAGGTAGACACGTCAAAAATGGTCAAGACTGGTCAAAATTATTCAAATTAGTCAAAATTGGTCAAGATTAGACTAATTAGTAAGTGTCCTCATCACCTAGTGAAAAGGTCTCAAAATTAGCCTATTTTACTTCTATATTCATCACTACTGCGAGCACAACTCAAAGGTAGCCTATTTTGTTACTGTCCTCATCACCTCGGTGAGGACACCCTTAAATTAGCTTAATTGGTCAATGTATTCATCACGACTATATCTTTTATTAATGGCCTTTTGGTTCTTTGCACTATTGCATTTTGTCTATATATAGCCTAATCTCCGATCACTTCCATCAAACACTCTCTCTATAAGCCCCTATATAGCTCCAACAAACACTCTCTCTCTTTAAATTTAAGAGAATTTCTCTTTAAAACCCCTCTCTAGAAATAATCCCATTCTCTCTACCCATGTATGTAGAGAGAGAAGCTCAAACCAAAAACTCCCTTAATCCTTAAATCTACCTAGAAAATTTATAGCAGAACCCACCTTCGCGAAAACAAATATATCTATCAATCTACTTGGTGAAAAATTCTCCATTTTATATGGTTAAAGTGCCGACTTCCAGGGCTCTCTACATATAGAGTCTGAGAATTTTTTGGATTCGGTAAGGTTCTCAAATCAAGCCTCAAAGTTGTTCCAGTTTTTCAAATCTTCAGAACTTACCTCGACTCAAAATGCCAGAACTCCTAGCATAAAGATGAGCCTTATATGCTTGGAAAGCTCACTCAGAGGGATTTCTCCACGCAAAATCCCAATTTTTTTTTGACCTTTGGAAGGTCTTCTACTGAAGCTCTAAAGTTGCTGCAAAAAAATAGAGGTCAACAAACAAGGCTTTGGATCCTTATCTCTCAATTCAATCTTCAAAGAGGTATTCTAAGAGGTCTTACAACTAGGTAATCACCTCCTAAACTCTAATTTGCATCATCGCCTACCCCCTTCTTTTTCTTTTGCCCAATGGTAGGGGTGCACCGGAGGAGGAATGAGGAATTGTGATGAGCCCACTACCCACCTTGTTAAAATCTTCCTATAACCCCCCTTTAGGTTTACTTTTCTTGTTAAACCTTAGATTTTACACCTTTTGTGTGCATTCATGCCTTAAAATGAACCTTCTTAAGATTAGTACACATATTCACATGTTTTTCACAATTCACGGGCGTGATTGTTACAACGGGATGCCACTTTCATTATACAATTATAACGAGGAAATCTTCTCATGCTATAGATGATTCTCTTATGAAAAGTTAAATATATTTCAATTTGGAGCTGTGTGTATGACCCGTGAGTTCCAAGTTTATCTCCATTTAGGGATGTATGAGTAGATTTTCCATGACAAAAGTCACCTTTGTTTCTGAAACTATGTTTGCACACACACTCACACACACACATTCAAAAGCATGCTTGTTATGGTGGAATGACAATCTTGTCATGCCATGACAAAATTTTCATTCAATAGATGACTCTTGTAGAATCATACGATCCTTTGGAAAGTTCAATTTCGTTTCCCTTGGGAGATTTGCAAAGGAACTTGTCCATGTTCAAAGTCATCACCCTCTTTTATACCACATTTTAATTATACACATGCACGAACGCACTTATCAAAAAAAAAAAAAAAAATACACACGCACGCACATACCAATTTCCAAGTTCCACTGTCCATGTCGTTTTAGTGCCCAAATCCCATAGGATCCCTAGATACACTACCCTTCCACTCTTTTCTCTAGATTTTTTCGCAAATCATTCTTTTTTAAACACTGTCCCTCAAAACGTTTGTTTTCATCCTTAAATGGTTGTTTTATAAATATTCCTCTTTTAAACTCTCAGTTTGCATTTCAAGAATCCATTCTATGCAAATGGTCATATTCATTTTAGAACCTCACTTCCAAGTCTCTCCTCATTTTTAGGCTCTCATTTACTCCTTTAAAACCCATTCCATGTAAATGGTCATTTTCACCTATAAAATTGCATTTCATCCTTACATACATTTTACTTCCTAAATTGCATTTTTCCTCTCAAAACCCTCTTATGAGGTATTTTTCATCAATCACACTTTTTAACTTACATTTTCCCTCTTAAAACCTTCTTAGGAGCTACATTTCATCCCTAAACTCATTTGTCTCCCAAATGTGCATTTTCCTCTCAAAATCCCCTTTAGGGAGTACTTTTCATCCCTAAACTCATTTTCATCCCAAATGTTCATTTTCCTCTCAAAACCTCTCTCAAGAGGTACCTTTCATCCCTAAACTCATTTTCCCTCCTAAATGACATTTTACTCTCAAAACCTCTCTTAAGAGGTATTTTTCTCATTTTCAAATGGCTTTTTCCTCTCAAAATATCTCTGAAGAGGCAATTTTCCATCCATAAACTAATTTCCCTCCAAAATGGCATTTTATTCTCAACCTCTTTTAAGAGGTATCTTTCATCCTTGGAACTCATTTTTCCTCCCAAATGACCGGCTGGTAAAATTTTCCTTCTAATTTGTTTGGTATTTTTTTTATGGATACCGCTAACCTATCTCCATGTTGTCCGGTGCCCATCCTACTAATAATGTTGACTCTTATTCTATGAAAAAAAAAAATGATAAAATAAAGGTAATTCTTAGTTTAGACATTCTTTGGTTTCTCTTGCTTGATGGTTGATGGTCTATAAGAATATGCATAGATAGATGTATTGTGTACATTTTACTTAACTAATTTGAGATTTACAATTTACCTAATTTGTTTAAATTATTAAAAATTCTTATTCTAATTCATTTAATGATTATCAGCCGGGTCTGTGGAAACCCACACGGGTTAATCAGGAAGTATGGACTCATGTGTTGCAGACAGTGCTTCCACAGCAATGCGAAGGCAATTGGCTTCATCAAGGTCAGTTTTAATATATATTGAGGAAGGGCCTCAAGTGTTTTTCTTCTTCATTTGATTTTTTTAGGGTAAAATGCTCCGACACCTCCTTAGGTTTGCTTTTATTGCTCATAGATTAAAGTTGGACAAAAATTGCTCTGACACCCCCTGTCAGAACACTTAACAGCCGTTTGTTTTTTAACAGAAAATAGATTTTACTATTATCCCTTACTTTATATAACCCATCATTGCTGATGTTTACAGTTAAAATGAGGAATGTCCTCTACCCTTAATTTGATTACTTGGTACATTCTCATAAACAAAGTTTATACCATTTTTTTAAAGGAAAAAAAAAAAAGTTTGGATCAGTCACAGCATAATACCCTCGTCCACATTATCTTCACTGTCATCGCCACCATATTCACCGTCATCGCCACGTCACAAACACCATCTTCACCAACACCGCATTGGCCATAGTCACCACCACTGCCACAGCACCACCGCCATCTTCACCACCATCGTGACGGCCATAGCCACCACTAGCGCCACTCTCCATTTATCTTCCTTTCTCTCTCCATTTGCTCTCTTCTACGACACCCAAATTTCCCAGCTCCCTTAATACATACAATGTGGCTGTATAGAGAGATAATTCTTGATCTAAGAAGTGGGTTCTGAAAATCAAACTTCAGCCCATAACTTTACCTTCAAATCACTCCCTCAACATCATCAAATTCATCTCCTCGCGTCCCACCACGGCAACACCGCCTTCATCGAAACCGCCACCGGCTGCCACCTCTTCTCCGACTTCTGGAACACAGTCGATTAGCAAAGGCCATGTCTTCTTCCTCTTCCCCAAAAATTTTCTTGATTTGGGCTGTTATGTGAGAGTATAATTTTAGGGCTCGTTTTTGTTTTGCCCGCTTTGATTCCTAAACTGGTTGGAAAATTAGTGATTTTGGTTCTTCCACGCAGCCACCATCTTCACCACCACCGCGGCCTGCCAAAGTTACCGCCACCGCCACGACACAGACCAATCGATTGGAATATGAATTGTTTTTTTCAGAAATCGATTGGAATATGATCCATGAATTTTGAGTTTGAATTGTGTTCATCCTGTGTATGCGTGTATGTATATGTGTATTGGTGGGCTTCTGGGTTTCTATTCCTGGCAGTTTTTGATTGATTTTTTTTTTTTTTGGTTGATTTTGACATCAACTAATTGCCAAATATGATTCCAGTGGATTCCGATATGAACTTGGTTCAGATTGATTGTGTTTTCATCATATGTATATGCAAGCAGTCTATGTATATAGATGGGTTTTAAGTTTTAATAGGTGAGGGAGGGTATAAAGGTCCAACTAATATTGTACTTGAAATAATAGAGGGTAACTTTGGTATTTTATATTTTCAAGTTATTTGAATTTTCATCTGGCTGACGATCAACTAACAGAAGGGGGTGTCGGGGCAAAGTCAATCAAACTGGAGGGGAGGTTTAAACTTTTTTTATCTACTAGTTTAATCTGTGAGCAAATAAAGGTAAACCTGAGGGGATGCAAGAGCATTTTACCCTCTTTTTTTAATATGTTTTACATAAAGTGAGTTTGGTTTGCATTTTTCATGTTATTTGTATTCATTATTGGCATGACCCATATTTTTGTAATGACACTGCTGGTGAAAAAGAATGTCTTCAGTAGCTGCTGAGAACAGAAAGGAACCGTCATCTTATTTTGTTGAGAAGATGAGCAGCTGCTTGATATTATGTGGTGATGGGTTCTTGATTGTTTCTTTTCATTATCACGTGTAATTTGTGGTCACCGTTTATCATGAACTTACACATGCATACTAGGCAGATTTTTTCATTTTGCATGTGATCTGTGGACTGAGACATTTGATTTTACCATCTGTGGAAAAGAGTATCGCTGCCATGAATGATGCACATTACTAGGCAGATTTTTTAAATGTTGTTAGCAATTTACATTTTGAAGTTCATCTTCTTTGTCTTTTGTAGATCTGACATTTTCAGAAGTACTTACAATTTTTGTGTATGATGATGGCCTTTATATTTTTAAGAGTTGGAGAACATACTGCATAAACTTCCGAGAATATTTGCACAAATGCTTTGTCAAAAAACTGAATTCTTTTTGTTTTTTCGTTTTCCTTAATCTTCTTGTTATTCTTCGTTTTTTAATATATTTTATTCTGTATTTCAGTATCGCTAAGGAAATGGGACATCAAATAGCCAAGCACCATTGGAGCTGCATTGAAGATTTTTTCTTTCCCTTGTTTCTTTTATGACTAGTACTCTGATACTCTGTTGAATATTATACATTGAGAGTTGATTTTCACACTTTGCGTTGCCTTGGTTACATTGTCTGATATTTAGTTGTGAATGTAATTGATAATTTTGTTCTGCCCTGTTGATTTTCACACTTTGGGTTGGCTTGGTTACAGGCTTTGTTCTTCGCTTTTGCCATTTTGATTTAGTTTTTCGATGATAACTACTATATATTAAATTTAGTGTTGATATAGTTGATCGTTTTTCACAAAAATTTTTTTTGGACGTGGTAGGGAAGAGGGTGGATTTTGCATGTTTATGGTTCTCGTTCGCATGCTAGTTTCTTTCAAGGATTTTTGCAGATTTTGATCCAGAACTTTGGAATTATGAGGCACAATTCTTTTTTGGTAATTTTTCGTGATCAAAAGCATGCAATTAATGTGCATATATATAAAACTTGAAACAAAATAACGATGGTAAATTGCCGTAATTTCCAAACAATCACCATAGTTCTTTTGGCAAATTGGCTGGTAATCAAGTTCCTGACAAGAGAGTAAAAAATCCATGTTCTTTTGATTCTTTGTTTTAGTGACGTTAACTTGAACCCTGCTAAATTATCCAAAAAAATGGAGGGAGACAAAGCAAAACCCAGCCAAGCACACCTCATTCCTGTAACTCTCATAAACCAGATTGCAGTTCTCATCTTACTAGTGTACAACAATACGTCAGATTCCATGCTATGTAAATTAGATTTCAGCCTGATGGATATCATCAGAGTCGCACCTATCCCTCTCCTATTGTGAAATGCAGTGTGTTTTTCCTATAAAACTCTTTACGTCAAATGCATCACTGCCAGTCTTTGTGATGACACCCTGATCAGATAATTCACATCGTTAGACTGAAATCCAAAAAATTACATTTAAACAACTATTTTTGATACGCATGAGAGAGAAAGAGAGACCTTTTCAGTAATAATACCACTTATTATATTAGCTGGGGTAACGTCAAATGCTGGGTTCCAAACTGAGATTCCAGACGCGGCAACTCGTTCCCCAAGTCCTCCACGTGAGTTCAACAGTTCCTTTGCAGATCTTTCTTCTATAACAATTTCTTGTCCAGAAGAAAGAGAGAGATCTATGGAAGTCAATGGTGCAGCCACATAAAATGGAATACCATGACGAACCGCACACAGGGCAAGACTGTATGTCCCGATCTTATTAGCAGTATCACCTGCATTTATATTAAAATGCATCCATCAAACATATGTTCTACTATCAAATCTCACAGCAGTGTCTTTTTAAGTACCATTTGAAGCCACACGATCTGCTCCAACAATGACAGCATTCACACGTCCAGCTTTCATTAATGCAGCTGCAGCAGAATCTGCTATAAGAGTAGCGGGGATGTTATCGTGGACTAACTCAAAAGCTGTCAGTCTGGATCCCTGCAGCAGGTTGAAGAATCAAATAAATTTGGCACCATTGATAAACAAAGGCAAAATTAAACTGTTAGATGTCAAGAAGTTATATTAACAACACAATTACATAACCCATCCTTGAATATCACACAGATGTGAACATCACTTCTCTTTGAGAAAACACAACTACTTTACATTCGACAGGCACGCACACATACCCCAAAAAAAGAAAAAAAAGACCTATTCAACGTTTCAGGCTAAACAAACGATATACCGTCACAGCCACCTTCAACTATCCCTTTTTAGTACAGTATATAAATTTGATGGTCATTTCTAAGCCTTTGGAAACCCTTACAGGCCTTTGGAAATGTTTGGAGGGTGAAAGTTCCCCCAAGGTCAAGCAATTCACATGAAAAGATTGAAGACATGCTTCGTGGTAAAAAATTTCTGAATCTCCCATCTGTCTACTTGCGCAGAGGTTAAATCAGTGGCACACATGCCATTCAGATGCAGTTGGATGGCCTCAGTTTGGTTTAAAGTGGCTTGCATTAAAAATTTGAGCCTGCCTCCATCTCATCAGCCCAGAAGGTAAATTTTTCCCTATGAATTTAGATAGATCATATTCATCATCCTATGAATTTAGATAGGTCATATTCGTCATCACAAGTCCTCATTTGCTATATATTATGAAATCAAGGAAAAGATTTATCTTCAGAGGTCATCTTTTATTATTATTATTACTATTGAACTTTCGGAGGTAATTTGTCGATCATCAGTCAATAAATATCAGAGTTCATCTTCATAGCTGCCCTCCCAAATCCCATACTTGCTGAGGACCCTTGCTTCCTTATCTAGTCCTCAGAGTCTTTTCCCATCACTATTGCAAAATAAACATCTAAGTTATTTTATTCATGAAATGTTCCAAACAATCACATTTTAGTATTTTACTCTATTCAGGCACTGCAGAACAACACTTTGTCCAACCATGGTTGCGATATTGCCAAATTGGAATGTGGCAGCACATATTTTCCTTAATGAAATTAGCAACAATACAAGCTATATACGCACTTGGTTGAATGGACGTGTTTCCGTACAGTAAGCCCTCTCGAGAACTCCTTCAGCATGAAGTGCACGGATCACACCCAGTGCAGTACCATATCCAGCAGTAGCAAGACTATAACAGCATGAATAATAACGATTAGCAAAATTTTTATATGGTAAGCTCATTCTTTGGCACTTCATTTTTTCCGCCATTTGCTTCTTAAAGGATCAGGTGGATAGAGAGGGAGAGGGAAGGGGAATACCTGCCAGTGTTGCAATGAGTCAGAATAGACAGCCTCTTAGCATCTTTGAGCTGGCACTGAATAAAACTAGCACCATAGGACCCGATTGCTTTATTTGAGGCAACATCGTCCTTAAGCATTATTTCAGCAGCTTCAATGTAAGCCTAGCAATAATAGAAATTGCAAGTGCAACAGAACATTAGTACACGCTAAGGAGATAAGTATGATACATGATGTTTAAGCCTTTCTCCTCTCTCTCTGTCATATCCCAATAAGCCCCAAAGTGGATTTATTAGGTAAATGAAGAACACATCATTGATTGAAAGGTCATAAAACAACAGTTACTCCTTTTACTTTCCTCTCTCCCTTTTTATTTATTTATTGAGAAGTGTTAAGAACAACAGATACAATACCTGAAAGACAGTCCTAGCTTCTGATGCATTTGCAGCTGCCTTTGATATGGCTTCTTTAAGTTTTGTTGCAGCATCCGAAAGATTCACAGCAGTTGGTCGGCTGATAAGGCATTCAAGATGTTACTTATCAAAAAAAAAAGATAAGGCATTCAAGATGTCAGCTATTTTTTTGAGGATTAGCAGAAAATGCTATGACTACATTATTCGAAGCTTGAATTATAACGCAGAAACAAATCACCATGTCATTAACAAGCAAAAACTCAGATTTATTGTTACCATCTGCTGTTTACCTAGAGACAAGATATTCCAATTTGTTGGACAGGAAAGATGCTGCATGATTGGATGTCCCATTAAAAGCTTCCAAGTTACACACTTCCACTGCCAGAGAAAGGGCTGCAGCTATAGCAATTGCAGGTGCCCCACGGACCACCATATCTCTTATTGCAGTCCTGAGGCAATACTTAAAAAAATTACTTAAACATTTATAAGTTGAAACTCACGCACCCACTTTTTGTCCCTAATAGGACTTGAGCCCCAACCTTCTTAAGAAGGTAGAGGAGATACTACTAGGCTACAACCCTTGTTACTAGTACCGAGGTTCATTATCTTTGTGTTAACCTCTACCTGCTTTTACTCTGGTCTAGGTAGCAATCTTGGGTAAAATATATACAGAGAGGGATAAGGATACTAGATTCATAATTTACATCAAGATCAATATATATATATATATATTAAAATTCCTAACGACTGTCTGACATCAAGAGGAGTGTTAGCTGCAGAATATATATATATATACACACACACACACACACACACAACATTTATTGTGATTAGTAAAAAATTTAAGTCGATAAAATCAATCCATTACACAATTTTCATCAGAAATAAATAGTATGATATGAATTGAGGACAACAGGGCAAGAGTTGAAATATGTTACCATCCATCTGTTGAATCTCGAATATCCAAGTAAGTGGTTTCAAGGGGAAGCTTCCTCTGTTCCACACAAACAGTACAGTACAGAGTCATAATCAGCTAAGCAGAAGATGAGAACCCAACACCAACCATAAAAGTTACCATTATTTAAGTCACCATCTGGATTGAATTTAAACAGGCAGTACCATTTTTGCTTTTTGATAAGGAGAAATGCTTCGAGTTTTGCTCCAAAAAAAATAATAATAAAAAAATTCATATAAATATAAATATATATGTATACATGCATGTAGAGATACCTGATCGAGTAGCTGAAGTGAACCGCGCTTATAGCAGATAGACTGAAGAGAGGAGTCCTTTTCAGGTCCATCAAGGAAGCTCGAATCAGTTGCCATTGATTGGAACTGATCAGCTGCTATGTGAACCCTATAAAAATCAAAATTTTGATAAAAATTTATTACAAATGTTGTGTTAGTGAAGCAAATTTACAGAAATAAATCAAGAATTATAAGAAAAAGAACCATATTGACAATACCTACAAGAGACTGAAACTCTACTAATAAAACCCTAATTTCCACTTTCTCGCAACCTTTTCACGGCTGAATGAAATCAAAACTCAGAAGTCGAGGCCACCGATGCTAAAGCGGAAGTGTGGAAGGGAAACAATCAACACGACATCGTTTGATCGTCATCTAATGACGAGATCTCGAAAACTTGGACCGACATATTGGCTTCGAGAAATCGCGATGCGAGACGAAAAGGTGCCAAAGAAAGTTGTGCAATTGATTTACGAATCCTTTGGCTTTGGAGGGCATAAGCGACAATTCATGATGAAAGCGTTGGATTGGATTCGTTACCGGCTGTGTAGAAAGACTCGGATTGACTGAAGACATCCAAGACCACAATTATGGATATAATAATAGGTATAACAACTTCACCTGTTCCTCACTCTCCCCATTATAATGTGCTGATCTAGGTTTTTTTCTTCTTCTTCTTTTTCTTTCCTACTTTCTTTTTCATATAAAATGTTAGATTTTTTTTTTTTTTTTTCTTTTGTCTCTCTCTCTCTCTCTCTCTCTCTTTTGCTTTCTGGGTAACGTTAGCTTTGTTAGCTTTAGATTTTAGATTTCCGTTTATTTTATAATAGTTTTATACAACATTTTTTTCTTGGTTTTTGGAAGATCATCTTAAAGCTTCATGAACAAAAACAGAAACATTACAATCTTGGGACAAGTCTCTCTCATCTTTGTTAATTATACGAGTGATTAGGGTAACTACATTTGAGAATGAACATGTGGGGCAATACAAACATCCATAAAAGGAGTGGGAAATATGTCTAATTTCACTTAAGGAATCAAGGTAATTTTGTTTCTATGTAAAATATTTTTTGGAAAATGTTTTCCTGTATATTTCTAAATATGAGCTGTAAGGAGAATACAATCATGTCATATCTCCTTGAAGTCTTCTCTTATTACTATAGAGGTCAGAGGAATATGCATATTTCTTTTCCTCATTGATTTTCTCCTCCGTCGTTTATTTTAATATTACGGGGATGCTGGTTTGGGGATATAGTTCCCTGAGTTCCTTATTGTTTCATCTCAGGTAGTTTTTTGGCGGTGGATACTGATCAGAGCTATTTTGATGTTGACTGAGCTCTCAACGGAAGATTGCCAAAGAGAGAGTAAAAGGGTGGCTTATGTTTTTCTCTAAAACAATGGCACCGTTGAATCACATTAAAGATCTTGAAGGTGGTGGAGGTTGTGGCAGGGTTTAGCTTGCAAATACAGACTGATTTGAAATTGCCTTAGCACACTAAGGATCAGGTCCAATAAACATGGCAAGCTCTTCACAGCAATCTGGGATGAATGTTGACCACAATCGCGAACCTGGTCCACTGATGAAATTACTGCTTCAACGTCCAAGAGGAAACAATGACACAAGTTTGAAGACAGAAGAAAACAAAGTACCAGAGAAAGATCTCAACTGGTACCTGCCATTACACAAAGCTGCACTCAGAGGCGATTGGGAGGATGCCAGAAGATTCTTTGACCAAGATCCTGATGCAGTCACGGCCAAGATCACTAGAACCTCAGAAACAGTACTCCACATTGCAGTTGGAACAACAAAGGCAATTCATTTTGTGGAGAAGCTGTTGGAGTTGATACCAAGAGAGGCAGTGACAAGTCTGAGAAATGAAATGGGTGATACGGCCCTTCACTATGCTGCAACATTGGGCAATGTTGAGGCGGCCAAGTTATTAGTGGCCCATAATCCAGACTTGACCAATACTTGGAATGGTTCATTATTGCCTCTCCATGTGGCTGCTGGATATGCCCACAGGGAGATGGTTTCATATTTATTAACTGTCACTAGAGATGACATGGAGCCCAATCTGTTTGCAGATGAATCTGGTGCAAAGCTTCTGAATCTCGTAATAGTTGCCGAATTTTATGGTTAGTAATATTGAGCTGCTTCATTCCATGTCGAGTTCAAAGAATAAAAAAATCTAATGTTGTATCCATCTTTTTACATTGACAGACGTGGCTCTGCATCTGGTTCGCCTTTACCCCAGGTTGGCTACATTGAGGTCATCTGCTGGTAACACTGCCTTGAGTATGCTTGCTGGAAAGCCTTCTGCATTCCCTAGTGGAAGTCGCCTAAATTTTTGGCAACGGGTCATTTATTCCTGTTAGCTTCTCCACTCCATTCTTTATCCTCTTATCATCTGTTGCCTACCTTATTACCAATACTATTCTTTTACCAACTTGATGTTGGTGATACATTGCCATGAATGTCTGCCTCACAAACACAAGGTCTTTCAGAAAGAAGCTGTCATGTTGTGCAACAATACGATGCAGCATTTCTAAGAATAAAAGACAAGGAAATTTAAGAGGACTAGAGCTCACTTTTCTAACACTAGTGTTGTCTCCCAAGTATTTGATGACAGCTGCTAAAATGCATTCACTGGATGGATGCTTTTGGTAACTGAAAAAATTCAATTGATAGATCTCACAAATAGATCTATTTAAATTAAAAGATTATCCAGAGGGAAATTTATAATAATACTGGGGGAAGCATAACTCTTTTCCTCTTTCATCTTGTAGGTGTTCCTGTGAAGTTTGAGAACACCAGATGCCCCAAGGGAGGAGGAGACATGGAGAATCCTCCTATTAGCTCTCACATTTGTGTGCATATATGCAGCTGGGTTGGACTTTTTGGGGGACACAATCTGTCTGGTATGTCAAATTTTCCTTGTTCTTGATCCAGGATTATAATTAACAAGCTACTTAAATGCATTTTATTGACTGCTAGTACACTTGGGAGTAAAACCAAAATGGCAAATTGAATAATATCTGTTTTCATTAGGCATCTGCTACAAATTTCCTAATTGCATAACTGGCAGGATTTTTGTTACATGCGATATAAATAATTCAATTACACCTACTTGCGATAAATATTTTAATCTATCATTGCTTAAGAAATCAAATATTTAATGTCTAAACTATGTCTACTGAGACCTGGCAATTGTTGCCTGAGGAATAACAATCTTTTCTTTGTTTTGGCAAGTTCTCAGAAATGACAATTACTGTCCTTCTGATATGAAAAAAATGCCCTTATGTGTCTAATTTCTTGCAACTGGTTTTATTTTGTGCTACAGTATGCCAAAAATTGCATGAAGTACTTTGGGAAGCCATTGAAAGATTAGGTACGAAATACTAAATTGGCTGTCAGCACACAAAAGCTCTTGATTTTTTTTTTTTTTTTTCCCTTTTTGCTATTCGGGTAGGTATCATGTTTGGAGGTTATGTTGTTCTTTAGCTGATTTTAATTGTTGTTCTTGAGCTGATCTTAATTGCAGTGCCACATGTGAAGCATATCAGGAACATCAAATTGATGCATCAGCAAAATCTTCAACTTGTTAAATGCTTGTGCATGGAAGTTACAGGGTTGGACTATTCAACAGCTGCATTGATATTTAGATCACCAGTTCTTTCTGGAGCAAGGTTAGGGATTAGTGAGATTGTAGAAGAGATTTTGGAGTCATTTCCACCTGCAATTTGGTCTCGGGATGGAGAGGGCCATAATATATTCCTATTGGCAGTTATACATCGTCAAGAAAACATTTACAACCTCTTACACCAAATGAATGAGCACAAACAGTTGGCAACACAGTTACGAGACCATAAAGAGAACACAATCTTGCATTTGGCTGGAAAGCTAGCACCTCCTTATCAACTCAATTTTGTCTCCGGTGCAGCTCTGCAGATGCAGCGTGAATTACAGTGGTATAAGGTAATAAGTTTATTTTTAGAATTTCATATTAGTTTAAAGGTAATGAGGTTTAGGAGATCCTATTATTCTCACCATATCTTAGAAACAGGTCAGATTTGTTGATTAGTTTCAAACGTCAGCGTTTTCCTTACAGGAAGTGGAAAAATATGTGCAGCCTGACTACAAAGATAGAGAAAACTCAGTTGGAAGAACACCTGCACTGGAATTCTCTGAGGAACACAAGGACTTGGTTAAAGAAGGAGAGAAATGGATGAAAGACGCAGCAAATTCATGCACAATTGCAGCAACACTCATTGCGACAATAGCTTTTGCTGCATCCATTACTGTACCAGGAGGCAACGATGGTGACAAGGGCTTCCCAATATTCTCCAAAGAAAAAGCGTTTTCCATCTTTGCTGTTTCGGATGCATTCTCTCTGTTCTCATCCACTGCATCCCTATTAATGTTCTTGTCCATCCTCACTGCACGCTATGCAGAAGCTGATTTTCTCTATTCCCTGCCAAAGAGGTTAATGATCGGTCTTGTCACCCTATTCCTCTCCATAACATCCATGATGATAGCATTCAGTGCCACAATCTATCTTGTGTTTGGTGATAAAAAGTCATGGACTCTCATTCCAGTGGCTGCATTTGCCTGTCTACCAGTGACCTTGTTTGTATCATTGCAATTCCCCCTCCTAGTGGATATGGTATGTTCTACATATTGCCCTGGCATTTTTGGTAAGCGGAGTGAGCGTCTCCTCTACTAGACCAGCAGGCAAGGTGAAGGTGGTCTGATTACTGTTTGTCTCTTATCAAATTTAGTGTGAATGAATATTTGTAAGATGGAAGGCATATTTTTATTCTTCATGTATTCCTGTTCTAAATTCCCGATGACCTAGCAAAGGATGTAGAAACATATATACAATAACAATTATATAATCTTTGTTTATTAGAGGAACAAATTCTTGTGCTTGCATTTCCACCTTGATCATAATAGAAGGATTTTTCATCCTGTGTTGTTCTCTATTGCGTTCAAATGATTGGTTAGATTTCGAAGAAGATAATGACTAACCATATCGATTATGTCTGATCATGAGATGGTTGCGGCTGTTTGACCAGAAAAAGAGTTTGGTCTTGCAGTCCTATGAATTTGAAACAATGGTACCTACATAATTGTAGAAATGTTTGTGACTGCTGTTTCTGAAATTTTCAGTCATTTGTTTACATTTGTCTATTTACGGATGCTATCTTTGTAATTATTGGATGACACAGTATCACCAACCGGGGTTGTGTGGTGCCTTCTGATGAATGATTGAATGGCACAATTGCAAGAAAGGATGCACCTCAAAGCCATTATACTATATGCAGTAACGTCTCGACGCTCACATGCGACCATTTTTTTTTTTTTTTTTCATGCATTCTGATAGCTTCTTCGATGTTCTGAAAACAGTCATTATCCTTCTGCATTATGTTCCAACAGTAATTACAAGGCATCAGGTTCAACAGCATTTTCCACCGAGCATTATGCACCCATCGAGTTAATGACCGAGTTGCAGATTCAAAATAACTCTCAAATTGTAGTCAAGGGTGCAGGGTGGACGAAATATCAAAACTTCCAGATATTTGTAATGAAATTGATTTTTGTTTTAGAAAGTTGAAAATAGATCTTGGAGGCTAGATCACTTTCCCCAGAAAGAGGCCAAAATTGTTTTGATCACAAAACTACTTTAGAAGATACATAGGAAACATGTAAGTTATACTACAACATTCCTAAACAGATCACTGAAATTTTGTGTCCATCTGAGTGATAAAAAACATAAAGGAAGGCAAACATTATGTATTCACTACAGGATTTGGATGCAAAGCAAAGAACTCTCTACGTTTGCAGATCTAGTAGAAAGGATGCTCACTTCGCTTACTAAAAATGCTGGGGCCACACGTGGACTTAATCATTTCCACGAGGAGAGGAAATTGCAAGAACACAAACAACGTCACAGGAAGACATGCTAATGCAGCCAGTGGGATAAGAATCCATGCTTTTTTATCACCAAATACAAGATAAATTGAGGCACTAAAGGTTACCATCATGGAAGTTATGGAGAGAAATAGGGTAACAAGACCGATAATTAACCTCATCGGCATCGCATAGAGAAAATCAGATTCAGCGCATCGTGAAGTGAGGATAAACAAGAGCATCAACACAGAAGTGGTGGACGAGAATAAAGAGAATGAATTTGAAATGGAAAAGATAGCAAAGGGTTTTTCCTTGAATAAAATTGGAGAACCAACATCACCATTGTTGCCACCCGGTACAGTAATTGCTGCTGCACACACTACCATAGCAATGAGGGATGCTGCAATTATGCACGACTTTGCTGTGTCTTTCAACCATTGATCTCCATCTCTAACCAAGTTCTTGTGTTCCTCAGTGAATACCATCGCAGGCGTTCTTCCAGCAGAATTTTTCTTCTCTCTGTAGTTAGGCTGAACATGTTTTTCAACTTCCTGAAAACCCAAACTTAAGGATCAAAGAACAAAATTAACCAATTTTTAAGATGCCATGAAAGAAACAACTTCAAAAATGGGATCCCAGGCCACACCTAAATTAGTGATTGAGGAGTGGTTTTGGGCCTGATCATGCGTGATAACAAAAATCAAATAATTCTGGACCAGAAAGAAATTAATCACCTTAAACCACTGTAACTCTCTTTGCATCTGCAAAGCTGCACCAGTGACAAGATTGAGACGATGTGGAGGTGCCAACTTTCCAGCCAAATGCAAGATATTGTTCCCGTTAATATCACTAATTTGAGCCACCATATGTCTGTGCCCATTCATCTGATATAAAAGGTTAAAAATGTTTCCATGACGATTTATAACTGCCAGTTGGAATACATCATGCTGCTCTTTGTCCAAAGACCAAATTACAGTTGGAAATGACCTTAAAATTTCTTCTACTACCTCATGAATGCCTAAACTTGCTCCCAAAAGGACTGGTGGTTTAAATATTTTGGCAGCTTTTGAGTTATCCACACTAATAATTTCAACGCACAAGCATTTGACAAGTTGAAGAGCTTGCTGATGCATCAGTTTTGTGTCACGTATATGCATAACATGCGGCACTGCAATCAAAATCAATTCATGTATGACATAAATTTAAAATAAAATGATGGTGCTTACGGGGCAAGTTTTGTGTATCATACCTAATCCTTCAATAATTTCCCAAATTACTGCATGCAACTTTTGGCACACTGTACAAAAAATCAAGATCACTAGAAAGTGTACAGGAAAACATTAACTAATTGTAGTTAATGAAAGCAATGCCAAATTACCAACTGATATGGTGAGGGCCTTTAGATCCCTGACACCTAATTGGTCCAATTATTGGGGCCCCACTCACATCGACCAATATGATCCTCAATCAGGACATTGACCCAAATTGTTTTGTGGGATTAAGACGTGCTCATGTTGATACAGCATGTATCATATTTAGTATACTTGAAATTTTGTCAGTTCGCAGAACTCTAATCCCATATCATCATATCTGGTGAAGTCTTCCAATTTCTGTAAAGGTTCAATTCTAAAAGCAGAATTCTCACTTCAAAGCTAAAAACTGTGCACTTGCACCATCTGAGTTATCAGAGAGATTCAAACACCCCCTCAATTGTTTGATCAATTGAATGTCTTGCATATAAGACCAAATTATAAACAAGAAAAATGACATACCGGAAATGAAGTGTTTTCGACCGAAAACCTGGCAGCACATCTGCATGCACTGTTGAGAAATTTCTGGCAGATTCTCAATGTCTCTTACATTGGAGTGGTGTAAGTTCTCCTGCCTCAGAGGAACACCTTCAAGATGAAAGAGTACAGAAAATATATTTCCTTCAATATATACCCCAAATGCTCTTTTGAGTAAAACTGAATGCTCCTATGGTCTAAGAACCTATATTAGTGGGCTCCATATATTGTCCCCTATTGTACTAAAAAATGTCTATTTGTTGCATATCAGTTAACTATCACTAATGGAAAAGGATACAACAACGTGACAAAGGAAAACATATCAAATTCCCCTAATTTCTCATTTTTAACCTTCTGAAATATTCATAGAACATTTTCCAACATCCAAAGAATCTGAACAAAATCAACTGATGAAAATATCAAATCATATTCGTATTTTTGCATGGAGGAACTATTAATGTAGCCTTAATCTTTTAATCAAGCACGTCGGCAAGAAGAAGCTTACAAGATGTGATCTTGTGTGAAAACAAGCAAGGTCGGTTTTGCCAGTTTCTAGAATGTGGCAAACTGGAAACATATTTTTGGCATGTTAAACAACAATTATGCAGCTATATTTGGTTGAGAAGTAATCATGCCTTTATATGCATCATTAGCAAGTGTCGCACGATCACTTAAGTGAGTATTTAGAATGAAGTACATCAAGTCATTTTAGGTTTTCACATGGGTATACAATCATTGGCTTACTTGACTTGGAATGTGCGGTTTCCACTTCTTGTATGTTAAACTGAATAGAATATAGAAACACAACACAAGAGAGTACAGATGATAGAGAAAACATAAAATGGAGTTGGAGAAACTCACAAGAATAGACTAAGCGCTGCCAAAAGTTTAGGCAACTTCCACTTGGGAATGCAGAGGGCTTTCCTGCTATAATACTCAGAGGAGTATTACCGCCACGAGAAACAGTTGTAGCCAACTTAGGGTATCGCCGAAGCAGATCCAGAGCCACATCTACATATGTATTATAACATCAATGAAAAAGAGTTAGAAATAAACTTAATACTAACAGGTACCAAATTAATACACAATTTGGTGATTATTAGCTTCTCCTTTTTCACACTCTTTAGAAATTTATTTATTTATTTATTTTTTCATTTTATAAATTCAGCAGCAATAAGAAACTGGCTTCTTATTACTCACCATAGAATCCTGAATCTACTACAATATTGAGAAGCTTGATCCCAGGTTCGTCTGCAAAGGGACATGGATCCACATCATCTTTGGTGACGGTTAATAGATATACAACCGTCTCTTTGTGACCAAATAGAGTAGCCAAGTGGAGAGGTAGTAACTCCGTATTGCTCCAAATATGAGGCAAGTGTGCATTTTTGGTCACTAATAACTTGGCCGCCTCAGTATTCCCAAATTTTGCAGCAAAGTGAAGGGCTGTCTCGTTAAATTGATTAGCCACAACCAATGCCTCTGTTGACACCAACTCCATGAGTTTCTCCACAAAATGAATTGTCTTCCTTTTCCCAACAGCAAGGTGGAGTGCTGTCTCGGAGGTTCGTGTGATCTTTTCCATGACCCCATCTGGATTGAGGTCAAAGAATCTTCTAGCACTCTCCCAATCACCTCTGATTGCAGCTTTATACAGTGGCAGATACCAGTTTAAATCCTTCTCTGTTTCATTTTCCCCTGTCACTACATCAAGCAAGCACACAGAAAATTAAATTGGTCACATGAATAAACAAACATTTTAACTCAATCTATTGGATTGATTTGTGAAGTCAGACAAAATTGTTTAGCTTACCAGCCTTACTACTATTATTAATATTCAGCCTCAATCGTGATGAAGGAGGAGCGGTCATCCTTGTTGGAAAAGATTGCTCACTCCATATGCTAAGACAATATGTGCTTCATGCTCTCTCCTTTTTTGGTTAATTCTACTGAAACCCACACCTCCCTCCAGGTTAGTTGCTCAAACTTTTTTGAAGATTTGTGGGGCTTATTTTTTTTTAAGAATTATATTTACATTTAACAAAAATGCCGGGGGCCTTTGATTCTCTTTCTCAAATAAATCCTGTCAATATAAAATGATTATTGTTTGCCCTTCACCAATGACCAACACCTCAAATCCACTTGAAGCAAAAAGGAATGCAAGAAAAAGATACAATCAGTGTCTTATCTAAAAGAAGAATCAAAGGGAAAAGAGAGAGAATACTACTATAAAAAAGGAGTGCACATCCAATAAGAAAGGTACCATTTGTCTGCTGAGTGAACAACGAAGTTGCCACATTCAGAAGTTCGGTGAGCCATACTGCTAAGAAAGATTGTTAGTGTGGCATTTAATGAGTGAAATGGAGGAGTGCTTTTGACGTATTGAGTGATCAGCATATACCTCCAAATTGAAAGGTAAATTTTATAAAACAACAATTAGACCAAGCAAATATTATGGGACACCATGTTGAACAACTAAAAAACAACAAAAAAATTTCCCGGAAAAATAAAAAACAAATTATTCTTAAAATGAGTGTGGCAGACCTTTCTTCCTTTTTTATTTACTTTCTTTTTTACATTACTGAAATAAACAGAAATAAAGAAGAAAAAAAATAATAATAACTATGGATTCTTACACGATGCATTTTTATGTTAGGATTTCCGTAGTTTTGTCCAGCCGTATCTATAAAAAAAGATAAAACTTGTTATTTTGTTATTTAAATGAACCCTCTTTTCCTAATCTTATCAAATCCCGCATGAAAAACGTCAAAACTTTAATTTTCACGATACGGAAAAGATAAAAAAAGAAGAAGATAAAATTAGAAACGAAGACGTTCATGAGATGGTTGAAGAAGCGCAATTGGAGATAAAATGAGTCACGGTTTGGACATGTGTAGCAATTGCCAGTTAATTGAACCGGGTAGTAAAAGTGACACGGCCCTAATTGAGGATAATGCTAGGGAAGGAGGAAAACCAAAACTTAAATGGGTTGAGATAGTCAGTTAAGATGAGATAACATGTGTTTTAATTAAGGCTATGGTCTTACATAGAGCAGAATATGAAACATAATTCATATAGCCAAACCTAAGTAGTTGGAAAAATGCTGTTGAATTGAGTAACTTGAGTTGGTATATTTGGTTGCGGAATACTGAATTGTCTCCTACATGATTCTAAGAATTAAGAAACATAAGCATAACAAAAGAAACCCAGCTGATCAACACAGATGCTTTCAAGGAAGACTTAAAAAAAAGTTTTATGGCGTATAAAATGGTCAATATAGGAGAAATCTTGATAAGCAATGGGTGGTCTGGAGTGACTTTTTTCAACAAATAGAAAGTGGGGTCTGTTGGAATCAATCCTTCACTAGCTTATTAACCATTTTTATGTGATCAGCTCTATAAGATTTATAGAAATTAGACTTCTTAACGACCAAGCCCTTGAGATTAGTTAAGAATAGAAGATGAACTGAAATGCTAAATACTATGCATCACATTTGATTTGCCAAATTCATTTACATAATAAATGTTTGCATTTTTTTTAGTCCGACTCGAATGTGTAAAGGACAGTTCATAGTGTAGTTAATTAATATTCCCTCAAAGATCTTTAGAATTAAAGAGAAAGATCGGACCAAAGCCAAAATTTCCATATATCTAACTATATATATATATATGGTTGATAAGATACATGTTAAAGGAGGAAGATTCTTAGAGAGAATGTTACATATACATTGGTTTCTTACCATTTCTGAGAGAGAGAGAGGGCGCTCCAATTTCTTCGGCACGAAGAAGACCGCGCAAGTCAGCTCCGAGATTCCACTCACTAGACTAGACGAACACAGAGCGAGCCTCGTGAAGGGATTTGGTTCCATTTTTAATGCCACGCAACCTTTACCTTTACAAGTTGTCGCTTCTGCCCTTCGAGAAAATTCAAAATTGCGTCACTTCCGCTCGTCTCGTATTTTTTTGCAAACATCTCGTACCAAGCGCTAGTGTTTGTTGACTTTGTTCTGTGATGATGTTACATTCTAATCGTCACATTATATAATGTGGGATTTATACTGTGATTAATGGCATTCTTGAGGAAGTCAATGATCCAACCACACAGTATTTCCACTGATGACCTAGTTTCAAGAGTAACGCTCTTTAAAGAACTCTATATACTTGATTATTAAATTGTGATAATTAAAAAATTAAAATTATAATTAAAAATTTAATGGAATTATTTATTAATCTTTTAATTCATTGATTAAAATGGAAGAGACTGACTTCAAAATTGTTTAAAGGACACTATTCCGAGCATGCCATGATTAAGTGGCAGTCTAATGATGATCATAGACACCTATTCTTAATTGGCATGAGTTTTGTAGAGCTGGTGTTGAAGATCATAAACACTACCTACTCTCTGAGTGCTCTTTTCACTCACAGAATTCGCTCTTTTAGGAGGGTTAAATGCAATGTTCGGTGCGAGTCTAATTTCCTGATGGATTTAGTTTCATGGGTTTTCTATTAAAAGTTGGTTGTGGGCTGTTGCGGTGAGTTTTATTTGGAGAGAGAAAAACAATGCCCATATTGTTAATGAAGTTCAGTTCAAAATTTGGTCCAGGTTTCCATGCCAATAAGCAGTGGCATCTCCCTCACACTATCTTCAAATATGACTATGCCCCTGTTTGATCCTGTTTTGCCTGCTGCCTTCTTATTCTTCTACTCTGTTTCGCTTGTTATGTGGTGGTTCCTTCTTATCACTGATTTGTTTTGGAGATTTGAGTTCTTTGAAATCGTCGTAAAGACGGCTTAACAGGTGAGACCTTACCCGGACTTGGTTCACTCAGAAAAAAGAGTAATACATGTGATGTCCTTGCCAAGGTGAAAACACTTTATAAGGGGCTACATATGGGTCCAAGTCTCAAAACCCGATGGAGTTTCAAACCTTAAAGACAATCTTAGGTTTAAAACTTTGGGCATGCTGGACATTAAGATATCTGCTCATATATATTTTGGGCAAGCAAATGAGGTATACCAGCAGACTTTGGCAAGTAAACAAGAGATGTGTCTTAAAATTTAGCAACATGAGCTTTTATTATATTAATATTTCGGTTTAGAAAAGCTCAATATTTCTTCCTTCAGTATAACAACAAACATCACAATTCAATATCAAGTAAATCTCATCTTTAGTAGATGAGATATCAGATCCAAGCATGAGGGCAATGCCACGATGCAGTACTTGAAACAGCTACATTATTCCAATTGAGGGTGTGCTAAATCTCTATTCCAAACTTCCCAATAGAACCAAAAAAACAAACATTCTGCTCACTCTGGAAATGTGAGAAAAGAGATGAGGGCCTCATAACCAGGAAAGTGTGAAATGAGCTCTGACCGTCTTGCCAGTTCAAAGTCCTCAAACTGGAAGGCAGGAGCACAGGTGCATCCTACAAGAGAAAAGTGGTTTTCAGCATCCCTCGGTGCAGTTTTGACTACTGCATTGTCCATCGAAATGTTAACATCCTTTGATGGGTATGAACCAAACCACACATTAGGAGGCACTGTATACTGCAGATGCTGATTGTCTTCCATTAGATTGGGTCCAAGGCATGTTAACTTGACACTGCCATCTTTCTCATCCATTTCCAATATCTGAAACAACACATGGCGGCGATAGAATGAGTGTTAAGGAAGAAACATAATTCATAAATAAAGAGTTGCTTTTCCCTTTTCTTTTCTTATTGGGTGATTTGATGCACGTTTGTTGTAACACACCATATGAAAATTAAGTCATTCTTAATATAGGTTCCATTTACCCATTCATGGATGATTTAAGGTTAAAAGATGACATTTCAACAAGAGGAATAGTCCACAATGATTTTGCAGATGGGAAAAGGAAATTGTACTTGGCACAACTTCTACTTTCAAAACAAAAGGCTTCTGTACACGTCCACCAGATGCATTTGATTCAACTAGAATCCGAAACAAAATTAGTTATGCGCCATTTGCATAAAATGTAAAGCACTGTCAGAACACCCGTTTAAATTATGAATCAGCATCATTACTATGATGCTATCCAGGTGTTGGGGTCCGATGGAAAGCACATAGATGACCATCTGGTTTGCTGAGGCACTAAATTTTCCCATCATAATATATAACTTCTCTAATGATAACTAAGCTACATGGAGAAAGGATGTAAATCAAATGTATTAAATTTGATGATGCCGGCAAATTCAGTGGCAGTTCGTCAAATATAGTAAGCACTGAATGATCCATATGGACTGCGGTGAGGTTGCATTTCGGAGCAGATATCGCAATGTATAAGAGGTAAGTAGAAGTAGGCCTATACCATAATAGGTTCTCCCATATAAAAGTGCCAGGTCTCTGCACATGGAATACGATGGAGGTGTGACACACTCCCTGAAGGCAGCAAGAAGTAAATGCATGTACTGATAGGGCGATCAACCTTGTCTGCCAAAAAGCTAAAATTCAGGATTTGGTATAAGAGCGGGGGGGAGGGGGGGGGGGGGGGGGGGGGGGAACCCAAAAGAATTGTTCAGATACAAAACAGATGCAATAAATTGATATGAAATGGCAAATCCTCCAATATATAAAGAAATCAGCACAACAACCTCATCTTAAAACCTACGCTCAAAATGGGTAGTACGGTGCCACCTAAGTTTCTCATTTTAATCCAATTAGTGTTTTTTTAAACAGTATTGGGAAACCCTACTGCCTATGATAAATGAGATCTCCTAAATGTGTAAAGTACCATGTCAAACAAACAACCTCTGTACAGATTTGTGTTGGACCTGTCTGAATGAACATGTATTAGTAAGGGTATGAAAGAATTAAAAGTTACTCGACATTACATAAACTCACTTATTGGGTTCTTTTTAAAAAATTTGTGATTCAAGACTAGCAAAGTCTCCATATTGAGCATTCAATCTTATAAAGAATGCCATTTTACCCTACGAAATAAACGAAGAATATTTTAAATTAAATATATAAATGAATATTTAGCGGTTTTCTCATTTTGCCAGTTTGAATATTTAGCAGTTTTCCCTGACATGCTACAACTTACTACAAGAATTAGAATACGGTTCTAAAATTGAAAAGGAAAAATATGGTGCTATTTCAGATTTTCAATAGACAAATTAAATGGCACTTCATACAACCCCATTCAATGTGCACCTATGCTCAATGTTGTATTATATAATGGATGCTCAAAAAGGAAAACAACATGAATGGCCACAAGCATATTCCTTATCAGCAAACAAAAAACATACCCCATTTAAAAAACAAAAAAAAAAAGTATACCACATTCATAAGCCCCAAAAGGTGCACTCAACAGTACCCAGATCAGAAATTTCAATATAAGCACACAAAATTGGGGGAAAAACAAACAAAGATAAATTGTGACTTTTAACTTGCATATTCAATTAGGTACGCAAATCTAAGATGATGCAGAGCAGATCCCACTTTTGAGAAAATGCAAACAGCAGAATCTAACAGCATAACTATTACATAAATGAGATCTTCTAAATGTGTAAAAGTACCATGTCAAACAAACAACCTCTATGTATAGATTTGTGTCGGACCTGTCTGAACGAACATGTATTAGTAAGGGTATGAGAGAATTAAGTTTCTCGACATTACATAAACTCTCTTAGTGGGTTCTTTTTATTAAATTTATGATCAAAGACTACCAAAGTCTCCATATTGAGCATTTAATCTTTATAGAGAATGCCATTTTACCCTAAGAAATAAAAGAAGAATATTTTAAATATATAAATGAATATTTAGCAGTTTTCTCATTTTGCCAGTGAATATTTAGCAGTTCTCCCAGACATGCTACAACTTACTACAAGAATTAGAACATAGTTCTAAAATTGAAAATGAAAAATATGCTACTATTTCAGATTTTCAAAAGACAAATTAAATGGCACCTCATACAACCCTATTCAATGTGCACCTATGCTCAACGATGTACTAAAATGGACGCCCCAAAAAGGAAAACAACATGAATGGCCACAAGCAAACAAAAATCATACCCCATTTAAAAAACAAAAAAAAAAATGTGTACCACATTCATAAGCCCCAAAACAGTACCCAGATCAGAAATTTCAATATAAGCACACAAAATTGGGGGAAAAAAAAGAAAGAAAGATTAATTGTGACTTTTTACTTGCATATTCAGTTAGGCACGCAAATCTAAGATGATGCAGAGCAGATCCCACTTTTGAGAAAATGCAAACAGCAGAATCTAACAGCATAACTACTACACAAGTAGGAGCAACAAATCATAATCGCTACAGACACACAGAGATATGAATATATATATATATATACACACACACAAACATTACACACACTTAGATGTGAATATATTATACACACATATAAACAAGATCCTGAAATAGTTGGAATCTAATGAGTGTATGACTTACATTCGAGGGGAAGTTGAGATTTGGATAGAGTGATAGAAGTATCTCTGAGGGTTTCCGAATAGAACCCACCTTCTGGATGGGGCTTAAGATTCAATTTTTCAACGATCTGTGAAGCTGAGGCCATCATCTTCTTTGCTTTCAAATCTTGAACCAAGGCTCATGTATTTAGTTGTAGTATTATAGTATAAGCTACGCTTGTGCTTGCAGTCCTGTAGTGGAGGCGCACTCTATTTGACTAGATTATTTATATCAGGAGTGAAAAAGACCAGCCACCTGCTGTTTTGACCAGTTTTCGGTTTCTTTTTTATTGTACAAAATTGACTATTTTTGTTATTTTTGGAGATTTAATCTGTCCAGTATTGATTATTTTCTTATTTATTTTATTATTTACATGGGTAAGTAAAACACACGACAGGACACATCAATAAATGTCTTTAATAATGGTATATTGTTTGATTAATATTATTTATTTATTTGTGTATTATTATTTTTTTATATCAAGCAATTTGTCATACTTATTATTAATGGTCATCATACAAGAGTCGAACCACACAAATTTTTCTTTTTTCTTTTTTTCAGAAAGTAAGAAGGACACAAGTTGAAAAAGAAGAGACGTTATTTTATGGTTTTTGTTTAAAACATGAGAGGGAAGAGAAAGGAAAAGGAACTATAAGAGATAATAATACCCTTTTGTTTCTATTGTTTATAACTTTATAATTTTTCTTTTTTTATCAAATAACCTTTTTTCTAATTACCCACTCTCTAATAGCGTTTGGGTAGTCATGACACCAAAATGCTGCTTGTTACTCTTGGCTTAGCTAACTTTGTCACCTCCTCTAGGTGCTTGTGGGTTCTTGAACAAGGGCATATATATGTCATAATCTCAAGTTAAATGGATTTAGAAAAACAAAATGAATACAGGTCTGGAGGATCTAACCATTACCTCCACAAAAATAATAAATAAAATAAAGAAAGAAAAAAAAAAGTTTTTTTACTGATAAAAGGGCATTCTGAACCTTTTTTTTTTATTATTAATTGGATAACGCAAAAGAAGGAATAATACATTATAAGATCGAAAAATAAAAAAACACAATCTATTATAATGTGCTTAAAAGCATTTCATGTGCACAATAGAATAACCAGACTCCATGTACTCTTCTTTGGAAATCCACATCTGCAACACAGCAATCAGTATAAGTTAATTGGATTGCCATACATGCTACCGTTATCAGTTGCTAAAACAAAATTAAAAGTAGGTCAATATTTAATTATACAGCTGAGATATAATATTTTACTGTAATATTTTTGGTTTGGTGCTGTGAAAACAGAACAAAACAAATAAATGAGATTTTGTTATGCTTTCAGTTGTTTTTTGATTCATAAAAATGGTAACAAATCATTTGAACCAATTTTTGAGACACCCAAATAATGAGAAATGAATACATGTTCTAGTAAGGTACCTGCTCGAAGGTGCTAAGTGAAGCTAAGATGGAGCCACCAATCCAGACACTATACTTCCTCTCAGGAGGTGCAACCACCCTTACCTTGACTCCGGGAGGCACCATAGAGCTCAGCTCCTTCAGTAACCTATCAGCCAGACCGGATATTACAGTGGTACCCCCACTAAGCACCACATTTGCAAACATGTCGCGCCTAATGTCCATGTCGCACCTTCTGATTGATTTCAGCACAGCCTCGTGGATTCCACCCGACTCCATTCCCACTCTGCTAGGATCAAACAGAGCCTCTGGACACTTGAAACGCCCTGCTCCTATCGTTATGACTTGCCCATCTGGCAATTCATATTGCTTGTCTAGCTCAGAGCTTTCACTAGACATTTCAAGTTCCTTCTCAAAATCCATTGCTACATAAGTGAGTCGCTCCTTTATATCCCTAACAATTTCTCTTTCTGCTGATGTGGTGAACACATAACCTTCTTCAGTTAGGATTTTGGTGAGATAGTCAGTCAGGTCCTTGCCAGCTAAATCAAGCCTTTCTATGGCATGTGGTAGAGCATATCCCTCATAGATGGGAACAACATGTGTGACCCCATCTCCAGAGTCCATCACAATTCCTGGTTAAAATTTATTATTATTATTATTATTATTATGTGTTGGTGAAAAAACACATATTTGACAAAAGTAGGTGCAATTTTGCATTGTGTGTGCACTCACAAATGTGTTTATCATAACAGATAATAGTTGTTATAGCGGACATGGTTTCAATGTTACCTGTTGTTCGACCGCTGCCATAGAGGGAGAGCACAGCCTGAATTGCTACATAGGTGGCAGGAACTTCAAAAGCTTCAAACATGATTTCCATCATTTTCTCTCTATTGATTTTGGGATTCATGGGGGGCTCTGTTAAGAGGACTGGGTGTTCTTCTATGGAAACTCTGAGCTCCTTCTCAAATGTATGCTCCCACAGACTCTCCATTGCTTCCCAATCTCTCACCATTCCATGACCAACAGGATAGGTTAATCTTAGGACTCCACGTCTGGCTTGCGCTTCATCTCCAAAGTACATGTCCTTCTGTCCAATGCCAATCAGTGGATGATTGTTTCGGGGGCGCCCTATCACGTTTGGGAAAACTACACATGGAGCATCGTCACCAGCAAAACCAGCCTGCATGATGAGAGAGTTCTATGTTAATTGTCATAGGCAAATTCAATACCAATTTGAGCTGCTGGAATTGAATGTCATGCTCAAATTTCCAGCACTGAAGGGTACATTCTTTTAGCTGATCAGGAATTGACTTACCTTTACCGAGCCTGTTCCATTATCGCAGACAATTGGCCGACTATCACCAAAATCCATGTCCTGTGGCTTGAAAACTTGTTGAAAACAACAGAGGTAATAGAAATAGGAACTTGAGAAACCATTGATAGTGATTTACATAGAAGGATGCAAAGGAGGAAGAGAATAATCCGTAACTTTATCTATGACGTGAATTTTAGAATCTCCACTTTCGGTTGCTTAAGAAACATGTCAGTTTGATCCTCATTTTTTTTTGGAAAGGGGGTATTAACCTTTTCTTACTTCTATTTTATCCAGGCTAGGGTTAATTATGCTACTGAAATTGGTCAACAGAAGAGAGAAAAAAATTTGCAATGAAGTGATAAATGGACCAGTAGGGAGGTATGTAAATCAATCATTCACGGCGGACTCAGCTTCATTTTAGCATAATGTGCATGTAGTTTGCACGCTCGTGTCACTTTGTACCTGTCCGAGAGCATTGTATTTGAGTATTTTATCGGTATTATACTCGAACCATTCTCTAGCTATTGATGCTAATAGCATGAACCATTTCTCTATTTCTTTATATTTTTGAGTTCAATAACCATTTCTCATATTCAGCTTTACAATTAACATAACATGGTCTCTCTTCCATAAACATAGCATTTCTCCAAAACTCAGCAATGCTTCAAAGGCAACAGTAAAAACAATGACGAATAAATAGAAACTCCGAATCCTGGGAACCGCTAAGCAACCATGAAACAGATGATTGCTAAAGAACCTTCCAAATCATCCAACCATTAGCGTTCAGGCCTGAAAATATTCCCCATCAAACCTTGCAAAGTACTCCCCATCCCTGCACCAACAGCTTCTGCTAAATACTTTACCTGCAAAATTTCCATCACCCTTATTAGGGTTTTACAGAACCCTAGTTTTCCAGAATTCCATAGATGACAAAAGACACGAATCAAAGCATTTGAAAGGGACCAAGGAAGAGTTACCTCTTGAATGGTCTTTTTCAAATCAAAGGCATCTTTAACCCGCCCATCCAGGAACGCCCATGTATCGTGAAAATCTGTCAGAATTTGGCATGAAACTAATGAATCATTATGCATTTTCACATTTGCATGACTAGATTATGGGGTGATCTTTATGTAACCAGAATTATAGGTCACCACTTTATGGTTATGGACATCACTTTTGATTAAGTGCCGCTCTTAATACCAACAGGCTAGTGGTCTAGCGGTACCAAACCCCTACTTCTCAAAGAGAGGTCAGGGGTTCGAGCCTCAGTGGAGGCATGTGTGTGTGAGTACCCAACTAGGAAAAAAAATAAGCGCCGCATGTAACTTGTAAGGGCAGCTCTGTGCATTATCCCCTTTTGGCTGCATTTCTTCCCACAGCGCTCATTAATTATGTCAATTCTTGTGCAAAATATGCATGATGTAAGCAACCAAAAGGGGATTGCAAGTTGTACTACCGAGAAGGTTCCAGGAAAATGGCTCCCACATATCGTCAAATTAGTCCTCTGGATGTTCACGAGAGGGAGAGAGAAAAAGAAAAAGAAAAATAAACCTGGAGAACTGTCAGTCAACATGTACACCTCAGTTGCTGAGTATATTGCTCCAAGAGCAGCACGTTTTGCATACCAATCAACGTCAGTAGTCTCATCACCAGCAGCATGCCAAATCTCATCGACTAGCATTGCCCGCTGCTTGAAACTTTTGGGGACATTCAATGGTTGTGCCTACACAAAATTATATTAACAGAGATCGTGAGCGTTCAGCTTAACAAATGAAGTAGTAATCTGATAAGAGGTTAGTGTACACATAAAATGATACCTGGATGCTAAGAGCCTGAGGCCATTTAGATATATAAGGTGCCTGCATTTCTAAGCGAATCCTGACGAGCTTTGCAATGCGTTCACTGGGTATCGTGTTACCTAAATCCTCTATTGACTCAATTCTATCGATAAGCCTTTGCAAACACTCATCCATGAAAAACTGTGACAAATTAAATGGGGAAATAGAAAAGTTATCAGCAATATCGTGACTTGCATAAAAATGAAATATAACTGGACAAACCAGACTGTATTATGGAGCTAGAATAATAGGAATATAACGATGGTCTCTACTCAGTTCAGTACACTAGAATGATTAATCATTGTACGAGACCCCAACACTTGATAGGCGCGGAACAATAAACTATGTAATATCATGTAAAAAATTCAAAGAGCATAAAAAACAATAAAAAACAATATTCTTCACTCAAGGAACCCTGGCACACTATATTGAGGTTTCATATGACCAGAATATATTCCAAACCAAAGAACAAGTAAGGATGCAAATTCGACCCACCTCAATGGGGACCTGCTGTGCCCACTTCTATAGGGTTTGGTTTTAATCCAATCGGTTTGTGAATGAGTCAAAAGTCGTTCTCTTTCGAACTTGTCTTATTTAGTTTTAAGAAAGTTACATAAATAAATATTTTATTACATGTTTCTTTTTGTTCTGTTCTCTCTTTTTTAATGATCTTTTGGATTCCTAATCATAAAGTTAACAAAATTTACTATTATAATTGCTAATTTTTTTTAATTATATTTGATTTTTTTCTGAAAGATTCTGTCTTGAATTGTATTTAGTTATATAAATTATACATGTCTCGAGACTCCGAACTTGTCTCGATTCCAAAACGGGGTAGGTTTGATAATTGATTTTTCTTCGTGGAACAGGATTGGGATAGGGATAAGCCATAGTCGCCATAGTCCATACAACTGTGGCATTGGATTAATTTAATTATAAGAAATTAGACCACATAGTTGGAATACAAAAATCCCACATAGAACAGTATGCCTAAACCCCTATCATTCATTCAACTAACTTTCAGGATTAATTCTTGTAGCATCCTACTTATTACCAAATCGCTTCCCTTTCTTTCTCAATTTCTCTTGCTCATATTTCATTGCTCTAGCATCCTTAAGGAAAAACCCCAAAACTTCTTCCAGAAAGCTCAACTTGCTGGCCCTTCAAGGTATAATTTATTAGATTTTTACCATTTAACATTTAATTCTAATGCCATAACCAAACAAGTCTTGTAAAACCTCCAAGCAGTAATTATCTCACATGAAAATTAAAAAAAAAAACAAAACAAAAGAAGCCAGATATGCCATAACCCTGTCCCAAATGTTTTAACTGAGTTTTTGCTTAAATATTAATTACATCTGAAATAAATTACTAGAAAAGTCAGATAAAGGTTAGGTTGGTATCAAATTCTGTTCTTTATGAACGTAAAAAATGTCCTTCACACTCAATTAGCCAAATAAGTAGTTCATTAATAGCCTAATTTAACCTAAAATGTATTGCAGTGCAATCTAAATTCATGTGACAATTTAATAATGAAGAAAAGGATATTATACCTCTACTAGTGCAGCTTCTTTCCTAGGGAAGGATCCAATGATAGAAGGAGATACACCAACCTCCCTTGCACCAGCAATCATGGCTGCTTCAGTCCATCCCAGATTAATCTACAAATAAACACAAATCAACACTATTCTCTAATTCACTAATAGCACACCTTAAATATCCCACAAAAACTGAATAAGCCCATTGTATTTTTATGCAATTATAAGGCTTATTCTATTTTTAAGACAGTTTTGTCAACGTGTGAGCATCAAATTTTCCTCACGATTTTCCCTTCTTTTATGTAAATGCTTTCAAAGTGAAGAACTAAGTCAGCTAACCAAGACGAAAGAAAAGCGACCAATGGAAATTGATGTGAAAACTTCATATAGAACACGCATGAATGTAATCTTTGGTTATTTTTCTTTCATATGGTTTAATCAGCCGGGTTTGAGTAGCATTGCTTTTTTTTTGATAAGATTGGCTCATAAGTTCCAAAATGCAGAAAAAATTACAAGACAAAGAATGTCAACTGCAATGCAAATGCTAGATCAATGATAGTGCTCAAATTTATAACCGAAAATTATTCAAATCACAGATAATAAATATGATTATTAGTATGGCAAACAATCTAATACACACACACACATATATAAGAACAAGAAGCTATTGAATGTAGGTACCACGTGATTAAGGGAGGAACTGAGCACTCGAGCTTGTTCGTCTTGGTATTCAGCTCGTGGTCGTGTTCCTCTCGAGGTTTGGCTCTCATGACGAGCTTCTTCTTTAGCAGAGGCTGATCCTGACGATGCAGAAGCAGAATCTTTATGATTTAGGGTTTCTGATTGTGCTTGTTGGTATTGTTGATGGTGATTAGGGCTTTGACCAGAAAATGTTCGAGAATTTGCCGGAGTGGAAAAGCGACATGAGTTTATCAGAATGGTTCGGTTGTGAGATGGTCGAAGACGCGCGTTACGAACCAACGACGTCAAGAAAAGCAGGCTCTTCGCCGCCGATCGATTCATGTCGGGACTGACTGTTATTTGTGAGAGAGAGTGTGTGTTTTATATTTCTTGATTTTGGGGTTTCCACGTAACGCTCTGTGCTGCGCACACTTGTCACCAGCCCTGGTCTACTTTCTTCTTGTTGACAAAATTCAGGGAGAATTTATCTTCCAAAAAAAAAAAAAAAAAAAAAATTTAAGGGAGAATTTGTTATTCGCGCTCCAACTTTTCTCTCGCAACTTATTATTAAAATGACTTTTTTGCCCTTTAGCATTCCTTTTTCTTTCTCAAAATTTTCATTACTATCATTGCTCTCTCCCCTCAAAAAAAACTGATCTGGCTATATCTATGCCAATTTCTGATCCCCTTATTTATCATGAATTAAAGTATCTGATCTCTTCCTTGTCATACACACATACATATATTATTGAAGTGATTATGAAGTTGGGAATTAAAGATAAAGATTCCTGGGCAGTTGAAATGAGGCGTATTGAGTTTTGGTTATTTGATTTTTTTAATGTTTTTGTTTCCTTAGAGAAGAATAGCTTTGATCATTCTAATACCCATTTAAAGTTTTCCCTTTATATAGAATCTAAAATAACTTTCAATATGATCTTTGTCATGTCAGAAAAATCGGTATTAACCATAACATATTTTAATTCAATATCATAATTTGCAAGTCTAGTAGGAATAATAATCCATTTATAATATCATTCAATTGGAGAAACACAAAAATTTTCTTTTTACAATTTATCCAAGTTTTATTTATAGATATATACTGTTGTTTACAAGCATACTAAAGCAATTGAGTGACATTGAAATTAAACATAATTTTACAGCGTGCATGAAGGAAGATGAAAAACGATTGCTATAAGGGCATTTGGGTCTTTTCATTTTTGGCAAATCAGGGAGGAGAGGCTTAGGGCATTTTTGAACCACGAAGAACAGCGACTCTGTGTAGATTTTGTAAACTCTTATTAATCTCTATTCATAGTACACATAAAAATAATAAAATAAATAAATCCATACACTCCCTACTTACTGTGTTTAAATGAGTGGGAAAAAAATTTATATTTTCTTTTACTGTATAACATTACAGGATTGGCAAAAATGTCCAAGAGGGTAACCTTCCAAAGAGAGAAAAGGGAAACTATTTTTTTTTTTTTTTCCCAGATGGCCCTTGTAAATCAACCATTGCAGCTTTTCATTCTTTACTGAAGTGGAAGCCCTCTCTGCAAATTAGTTGGCAATTGCAAAAAAAAAATTGTTCTAACATAACATACAAACTGTACATGAACTTCTAAGGATTAACAACTGAATGTTGCCAACAGAAGAAAGGACAAATGCATATATATAACTCCTTCTCAGCTGCCATATAGGCCCATATATGTGTGTAGTCATCCAATCTTTCGCGTGAAAGTGTCTGCGTGTCTCATATATGTTGAGTGTGTCAAACAAACCTGACCCTGCATCTTAAACAAAGGCACAAACACAGAACTGAAGGTCACCAGGTGAGTTCTTCAAAATGCACGCTCATGACTAGAGAATTCAACCTCCGACACTCTTTTTACGCAATTTGTTTCCTCTTCCTAGTTTAAGAATTGGGAATGAGAATTAACTCCTTTGTGAAATGCCGCGCAAAAGCCTTCATTTTGGTAGTCTTGAAACATCAAAAACATATCTATCACCATTCCGACTCATGGATTCGATTGGAGAGCTCAGCGTCCATGTTTGAAGCATTGGCTGGTGCTAGTCTACCCATACCTATAACTAAGACTGCTTCAAATTTGAATCTCCTCTATCTTCTTAGTGGCCTCCCAGATGTCAAGCCGCTCCCTAGGGTCGTCTTCAACACATGATGCTCCTATGTGGAGAAGCGTCTCCATCTGTCCAAGTGCACTCGTACAACTTGCTATATCTGGATCAATCAATTCTTTCTCTTTCCTCTCAGAAACTACTTCCCGGAACCATTCCACAATATCAGTACCACCTTTTTGGTTGTTGTGATATTGAGATGGAAATTTTCCGGTTACAATTTCAAGGATGATAATTCCAAGACAATAAACATCAGACTTGGGAGAAACTTGGTGTTTTAGTGTGGCTTCTGGGGATTTATAAGCAAACAATGATTGCACGGATTCAGTATTGTTCATTAATGAATGGAAGCCATAGTCACAGAGTAGTGGCTCGTTATTTGGGCCAAGAAGAACATTGCTAGACTTTAGATTTCCATGGGGCAGCTTAGACAATGAAAATTCAGTATGAAGGTAACTCATTCCACGGGCAACTCCCTGGATAATCTTTAAACGAGTAGCCCAGTTTAGCTCGCCATGAGATGTCCCTCGATCCCCTGATAATCAGATGTTTGTAGTAAGAAGGTAACAATAATTAATAAACAAATAAGAATAGATTTTGTATCCAAAAATGTGCAATAATGATCATTAAACTAAATAATTGGATAAAATCATAAATGTTTTAGATGGATAAAAGCAAAAAAAAAAAAAAAAAATGCAGGTTTTCCTTTTGTGGAGGAAGGGAAAGAAGTGCAGTTTCATTCTACTCTTGTTTTAAATTAGAATTGTATCATTAAAATGATAAGCAATGGTCTGTGGGCTCTTTCTACAACTAATGCTAAAGGTTAGGTCCACATCCGGTTCATTTGAATTTACTAGCTTCATTGCCGAGGGTTATCCAATACCCTTTTGAGAAGTGCTACTCGTATTCCACAAGGAGTTGCAGTTTTCATTGGGAAGGAAACCATATGTCATGTAGCTGGAGTTGGAGTTTTTATTGAGAAGGAAACCACATTTCATGTAGCTAGGAGTACTGTATACTTTCACTATGCGATGAGGGGGAGAGATATATCTAAAAAATGTGAATAAAAAAGGTTTCAAATTAAAGAACAAAATTCATGGAATCTAAATTTGATATCATAGTCTTCAAGGTCACAAAAGCAATTAGTTTCATACCATGCAACGCATATGACAAGCTGCCTTTTGGAACATACTCACACACTAGCAGCTTCTCTTCTTTCCTGTAATGGTAACCCAAAAGTGGCGAAATATTGGGATGCTTTAACTTGGCAAGCTTAGTCATCTCATTATCAAATGCATCAATGCTCAAATTATTCATCTCTTTCATCCTCTTCACCACAACAGCCACCCCATTCCCCATCACCGCCTTGTAGGCTGATCCCAGGCTGCCATTTCCAAGCACCTCCGCGGACGCCTTCAACAAGTCCTGCAACCCAAACACACCCTTTTCTGCATTCAACATGACAATATCACTGGTGGGCTTACGCTGATTCGGCAACCCTGCTCCGCTACTTGATAGATTCATCTTCCGGCTAGTGCTTGCCCTGCTTGGACTCCTCGAAATCTGAACTTCAACCACCTCATGACTGAGCTGCTCTGTGCCAAGCAAATTGAAGTTACCATTCTTAGGCTTCCTATGGTAAAGTAGCGTTGTGAGTAAAAGCAGAGCACCCATTATGCCTACCACTACCCACCCTACTTTCGACTTCACTTTGGTCTTTTTGGGCTTCTCTTGTGACGCCGCAATGGGCGTCGTCGTCCCTTCGTGGACCACCGGAGCCGATATCGGCGGCGAATCCTTCTGGCACTCTTTGCCCACTGGTTGCCCACAGAGCCGGGAATTTCCCTTGAACGAACGAGCGTTAAATTTCAACAGATTCTTGGGGATTTCACCTTCCAATTTGTTGTGTGACACGTCGAATGCGACTAATTTATCTTGTCCATTAATAGACGGAATGGGTCCTGAGAATTCATTGTAATCGAGGTGAAGTTCAAGGAGATGTGTTATTTTTCCCAACGAATCCGGAATTTTCCCGGAAAACTTGTTTCGGGAGAGCCAAAGTTTCTTCAAAGACATCATATTGGAGAAGAAATCCGAGGGAATTTCCCCGGAAAAATTATTGTTGGATAGATAAATAGCCTTCACAGAAGTGAGACGATTGAATTTGGGTATCTTACCCGAGAAAGAATTGTTCACCAGAACCACGGTTCGTAAGCCAGGAAGTTCCTGCAATGCGTCTGTATTGATGGTACCAGAGAGACCCAAACCGCCGAGATTTAAGCCATTGACAACTCCATTGGAACACACAACACCATCCCATGGTGCACCGGCGGTGTTGCAGGGTGATGTGTCTGGAACCCAAGAATCAAGATTGATTGAATTCGTGAGTGATTTCTTGAAATTGAGGAGGGCCTCGTTGTCGGTTATAGAGAGAGAGAGGGGGGAGAGAGAGAGGGATGTGAGGAAGAAGAAGAATAGGAGGAGGAGGAGGTGAACAGCGGCCATATTTGATTGACCGGAATCTGACACCTCCAGGGAAGAACTTGCGGCTGTTCGGAGAGATGGGGGATGAGTCTGATCAATCTTTTGTTTGGGACTTTGGTTTGTCTAATTTTGGGTATGGAATGGTGTGCCATGGCGCGATGTGGGTTGTGTTGTGATGAAGGATGAGTGATCATGGAGTTGACAACTCCAAATGACACAAATTTGCTAAGAATAGGTTCATATTTTTGGGTTGAAAACTGAAAAGGAGAGAGAAAATGGTCAACTCTGTTTACCTTAACAAAAGCCACTTCTGTTGTTAAAATTGGTTTTTCTTTTTTTTTTTTTTTCTTTTTTAACTGTTGCACAATTTGTCTTGTTGCTCTATATTTGAAATATGCATTAGTTGCTCTATATTTGTACTTTAGGTTTTTAGAATGGATCATAAACAAAGCAATGATGTGGTGTCTTGAAATTGTATGTTGCTTCCATGTTCAATTTAGGGCGTTTGATGGATTGAGGCACAATTTCATTTCATATGCGAGATGACTTTCAAATGCATATACATGATCAGAGGTAGTGACTGTTCTCTTCTGTCTTGGCTGGGGGTTCATTTAAGCTCAAAATCCGAAGGCTTGGGGGAGATGGCTTCGAACTAAAGGTCTTTCTTACCTCTTTCCTCTCACTTTTCCTCATTCAAACCACTCTATTTTTGGATTGTTGGTCAAAGAGGATTTTCTCATTGCTAGTCTTTCGACTAATCTATTTGAACACTAAGAAATGAAAATTTATGACAAACAAGGGAACAAAAATGGGCCAAAATAGCAAAATGAACTATTTTTTTACTTGTTGATATGTACATTTGCTTCGCTTCAACAACAAAACAATATTCATGATTTACATACCAAAAGAAAAATCGGAAGATCTGCCTCTGGCTTCATCACATTTTCAACATCTTCCCTCAACCAGTACTCTAGTCCACAACATCACTGTGATGTGAAAGCCTGGAAGCAAGAAAAGAGTAGTTAACATTTATCCATTACCAATTTAGTTCTCATGCTCCTGCATTTGGATAATATTCAACAATTCAGTAATTTAGGTTTACAATTCTGTAACGGAAGTGATTCTCATAAGAACCAGGCAAAAAAGGCTCTTTCAAACTAATTTAGATTGTGCTGTGACTTAGAGATGCATATATGTGCCCTTGTTTAAAAGTGAATATAATATGCAATAATTATTTGGGGAATTGAAGATGATGTACCGAAAAAATGTTGCAGTGCCCAGGATCTGCAATGTGAGCCATCAAGTTCTCAATAGGACCTTGTCCAGTGTAAATGGCTTGGAAACAGAAACCCACAAAAGCTAGCATAGCAAGTCGACCATTCTTGATCTCCTTGGTCCTCAACACCATCACTGGCTCCGGAGACCCTCTCCCCCACATCATGGGATCGAACCATAATCCACCTGGGTAACCGACATCAGGCTTTGGTTTCTTCTTATTTGGGAGTGTAGGTTCAATGTCAACACACCCTGGATTGATCATATCAGCCCATCTTCTGCCCTCAACCCAACCCATCAAGGCCAACTGCACCAAAAATAAAGTTGTTGGATCTGCAAAGTATTCCCGAGCACCAGCATCATACCAAGAGAAGTTCTCAATGAAGCCAAGGCTTTCGAGCCATTCTGGAATAAGAATTCCGGCAACAGCCAGCATTGCCCATCTGCCGTGCATTAGCTCAGCTTGTGCAAACCATCGAAGTGACTCTGGATCGGATCCTGGAAAAATTGGTCATGCTTTAGAGATGCATCATATAACAATGTCTGAAAGCATTATGAATTTATGATGAATGTCACCTACTTAAATAATTTAGGGGTGCCTTTGCAAGCAACTTTAAAGTAGAACAGCTCCTAATATGACTGTCGAATACTAGACTACGAGTAGCCCATTCCTGATATACTTGAGGCCAAACCAAGCAAGACACGAATAAAAACAGGATCATGACTTTGGTACACAAGTCAAGCCAATTGTTTCTTTTGAGCCACAGTACGATCCTTTTTAACAATTTGCAAGTAACAATCCTTGCACGATTCTTCAAGGAAAAACTTGAAAGAAAGAGGTTTGTTAAAGCTATGATAGTGTAATATGTAAGCTTAAGTAATAATAAGTTCACCAAGATTTTACAACAACTACAACCAAGCCTTTTCCCAATTATTTGGGATCGGCTCCATGAATCATGTGTTTCCATTCCGCTCTACTTAAGGCCATAGTTTCCCCTCGACTGCTTCCAAACACACAACACTACTAATGCACTTCTTGAATTGATAACTCAAAATATACGCATACCTAATCCAAGTGGATCGAAGCCAAAATCTCCAGGAAGACTGCAATATACAAATAAAGAAAATTCCTGTCACCAAGATATACAAAAGCTTAAGATATCATATTCCTATGTAACCATTGTGGAGTATAATAAGGTAGTTTTAAGCAGAGTTAGTACGAAAATTGTTCCTAAAACTCCTCATCATGTCTCATTTTTGTGCTGCTGTTACCGCTCAGTCGTTACTAAAGTGGTTGATGATATTATTAAGGGCATCTTGTGTTATCACCATTTTGCAGATCTTCCATGTGGTCTTTTTTAACTTCAGTACCCTGTCTGGTACTTCTTTTAGAAAAATTTGGTTCAATTATAATGTTTATATAAATTGCACTGTCTCTTTTCATCACCAATCCGAATGCATTACTTCATTTTAGGAGCCATCATAAACTATTTAAAATTAAAATCTGGTCGATCCCTAACATAATCTGAGCCCTAGAAGATCTGTTCTTTAAAAAATTAACAAAGTCAATAAAAAATTATCCTCAATTCCAGCAATAATTAGTGAGAAACACACAAATACAAAGATTGAAATCTGTAATGTCAGAGAATGTAGTGGGAGAGTTAATACCTGCCATCAAGCCACTCAGGAGGTGAACTTCCAGGGAACCACAGGGGTCTATCAGGAGGAAGTGGTTCACAAACACTTGAGACCCCTCCTTTTGTTGCATTCAAACGAGTGCTTCCTGGTAAGCATGTTGTGAGTTTTCCCGGAAAAGATTTTCTGGGTATTTCTCTATTACCAAACAGGACAAAGTTAGGAGTGAGCAATGATTAAAAACTTAGAACCACATTAAATCAATAGCTATGCAATGAAATGTAATGGTAGAAGAAGTGGTATGTATAACCTTGTTGGAAGGCTTGACAGTGCGGTGGAAGCAATGGCTAGGGCCATGGAGACAGGTTTTGGTACACTGGGCTTTAGCAGGGTGGCTCACCAGTTGCTTATCTACACTGGTAGTCTAGAAGCGGATGGTCCTTGATTGATTGAATTGCATGGGCCAATGGTACTTCAGTTTGACACGTGTTTGGATATGTGAGTTGGACTGTGAACTTGCAAAGCTTTTAGATTTGCCTTCCACAATGCTATTGAGGTCTAATAATCTAACCCAGGTCTGAAAACTCAATTTTCCTTCTCTAATTTAACAGAGAAGGCTAGTCTAACTATACCTCATAGTCCAATCGAGAAGATTAGTCAACGATTTCTTATCCCTTAAGCATGTTGTAGAAGGGTAAACTTAAATCTTATTTGAAATAAGAAATTCTCTACTAATCTTTTCATTTAAACTATTAAGTTCATGATTGCGTGAATCTAATCATTTGAACTTTTAAAAAGATGATCTGTTAATTGATTCCTGATTCTCACAAAATATTAATAAATAAATAAAAATCAACGAGTCATTGTCTAACAATATCTAACTCAGTGAAAACATGTATATTTGAGTATAATAAATAAATAAATAAATAAAATAAATGAAAGAAATAATACACTATACTACAATACCTAGTATAGTGTATAGTAGTATAGTGTAAGAGGTAAGGCCATTCAGATGAGCAGTGTAGGTGCTTAGCCTACTAAAACAAGGAAAGAAACCCTTTATCTATACCAATAATTCCCAACTAACCAGGAATAGACAAATAATAATAATAATAATAATAATAAAGAAAAAAATAAAGTATTATTAAAAATCAATGTCCTTAACTACTCCAGCTTATTTCTAGACTAGTGTCATGGGGTTAGATAAACTACCAAAAATTTTATTAACCTTGTATTTTCCATCAACTTGTGAATTGTGATGTTGATTTTGATGACCAAATTTAACATCAAAATCCAAAAGCTAAGTGCCACAATTTAGCAAGGGTTCGAACCCAATTCATCAACATATTAATTGGCATGTTTGTTGGGTATATAACAAATCTCCTGCTAATTATCTGACTCTTGAAGACTTTAACTCCACACAGATTGCAACCCCTCACCAATAGGGGGTATCGTGTTTGCTAATTCACACCCCCATGAAAGAGACATCTTAATTGCAGTACACATATATTGGATTATTAATGAAGACCCCTTTCGCAAATATTACCCATCATTTAGTTGATCTCATATACACAATTTAAAAATCAGTATTTATACGTAACATTTATTGATTTTAGTCACTACTATATGTATTCATATTCTGTATCAGTGATCATTCTATCGATTTAAACCTTGGATTAATAAAAACATTTACATAAATTAACTTTATCAAATAATATCAATAGATTATAAGTAAATTTCCTAATTTTAATCGCTGATATGTATTCATGTTCTCTATCAGTGTTCATTCTATCAGTTTGAACTTTGGATTAATAATTTTTTTTACATAAATTAACTTTGTCAAATGATACCACAATAAATGAAATCATGAGGGGATAAATTTTTATGAATGTTTGTGTCAACACACACACACACACACGTAATTATTAGGTTTAGGTCACAAGAATAAACAATTAAAAGTGACAGAAGTGTTAACCATGAGAATCCTGGATGTTTGAGTAAGTGAAAACTAGCATCATTGTTTGGTATGCTGTTTAGGTGGTGGAAGAGAAAATAAATGTTAAGTTTGAGTCCTGTGTTCTACTTTTTGTTTCTTAAATGAACAAATATAACTTAATTGGTCATTAGTCTATGTTGTTGAATTTTAAATAATAATATTACTCAAGCTATAAATAATATTAGCAGAATTTTAAAGGCTTCGCTCAACCAAACATATGAAAACTAATCAGTGAATAGGTGTGGGTCGTACATCAAGTTTAATGAAAAACTTACAAGTGTACAATAAATTAAATCCCACAACACGTGGCACAACAGATACTAAGTAACACCAAATTCTATATGAGACTACCCGTTGCCAAGTCCATGAAACAACTTCCAAGTGAAACTTGTCTTTTCTCTCTCCTCTCCGCAGTCTTCCCTTCCCTTCCAACGTACTCCATCACCACCTCCCCCGATCCACCTGATTCTGACCACTTGACATTTACACCCAATCCAACTTCCCACAAACTCACCAAAGCCCCTCGTTTACGCTTCGCATATACACAAAGATTTTCTATGTATCCAAACAATCCCACCACTCCACTCATTTATCTCTCTCCTCTCTGATCTCCTTTCATTTGGACCATGGTCGAAACCCTAGCGTCGCCGAGGCGATTGCACCACCAAAGGCTCGACTTTAAGCGCTTGATTCCGACGTTTTTTACTTCCCACAAAACCCTCTTCACGCTACTGTGGATCGTGGGCTTTGCGTCGGTGTTCCTATGGCAGAGGAACATAGTCGACGGGTTTTTTATTTTCCGGCGTGCTGTGCCGGAGAGGCCAGTGCCCAGGCTCCGGCCGGTGGCCTTTAATTTGACAGATTTCGGGGCGGTGGGTGACGGCGTGACGCCAAACACCGAGGCCTTCGAGAGGGCTGTCTCGGCGATTTCGAAGCTGGGGAAGAGAGGCGGTGCTCAGCTCAACGTGCCCGCCGGGTACTGGCTCACGGCACCGTTTAATCTGACTAGTCATATGACTCTGTTCCTTGCTGAAGATGCGGTTATACTTGGCATCGATGTGAGTTTTTGTGCTTTTCTTTTATTTTTATTTTTTTGTTATTATGTTCTAAATTTTATCTTAGATGGAGATGTAGAAGAAATTAAGCTGCTTGGATATACCAAAATTTAGCTTGTGTAGTGTTTGTGTTACTTGTATACTTGTTTTGTTTACTTAGGTTAATAACTATATATCTTGTATTCTTGTTCAATTTTACTGCTTTCATTCTCTTGTATGTCTGCATTTAAGATGAAAGGGTATAAAAATGCTACCTGCGATCTTTTCTTAATTTATGTATAAATGTGTGTGTATTATGTATGTGTGTGTATTGCATTCTTGTCCAGAACTTTTAATGGTGTAATAGTTGTTGAAGTTCGTTTATTAAAATCACTGAATCTTATAATATATACAAGTTAAGGAGAATACCTCTGAGTGGATGAGATACACGTATTATTTGGTGAATCTAATGACAATGTTTTCGGTTGATAATTTATGCTGTGATCGAATTTGGGCTGATAGTATTAGATTAATTCTATTAATGAGGTTAGGAAAGCGGGATACTTGCTGGAAAATAAGTAAGTATTTTTTGGTGTATTTTTTTAATTTTTCTTTTCTGGTTAAAGCTTAGTAGATTCCTCTTAGCCCCATCAGATCATATTAATGCAGCCTTTTATCTTTTCACATAAATCCATATTCATGTTGCAACCTTGTTATTTGCATTCTGATTTCATGCCAAACATTCTTTCCACTACCAAGTCACTTATAGTAGCCAGTTCAGTGTGTGTGGATGGACTGATTCGGGAGGAAGGGGATGGAAAAGGGAGGGAGGGGTCTGCTTTTTCCATGTTTCGCCCTACTTCTGTATACCTCTTGGAATGGAAGAAAATGCCAAAATGGAGCGAAAGAAAAGGGAGTTCTCCAATTTTGTCCCTTTTGAATAGAAGAATGAGCATTGTCTTTTCCTTCATTTTGTCTTTTTAGTTCCAATAATGTTAGAGGCTTCGGCTTATCCAAAAAAAAAAAGGTGGTTAAAGCCTTCAGGAACATGCAACATGTCAGTTGAGTGAATTTGACTAATTAACCATCTTGTTATAAATTTCAGCATCCCCAGAGGCACCAAGAATTTCAGGACTTCAACTGTGTCTTTTAGAGTCAAGTGTCCAATTTGGAGTAGGCTCCAATTATTATATAGGGTATCAAGAGTACATTCTGTAATGACCTTATGTCTAAGGTCATTTCTTCATCTTCAACTTCTTCCCAAGATGCAGTTAGGTCATTTTTTCAGAAAGCAAGGTTTACTTCTATTTTCGAGCTAGCAATTGAGATTTCATCATGAAGGACAGAGTCACTGGCCAACAGACTTCACTCTCCCCAACCTTTCTCAAAGATTCTCTCTCTCTAAACACACATAAAACCAAAAAGGAAATGTTTTTTTTTTTCCCCAAAAATGCAATCTTGTTCCTTAAGAAGAGTGTCGGTCAATCTTTGTATCTCTTGAATTGCTCTGGTGAATTGATGCTTAACATGTAGTTTTAGTTACTCCTGCACCCACACTGTTGCTAATAGTGTACCAATCAATCTTTATATCTCTTGAATTGTTCTGGTGAATTGATGCTTAACATGTAGTTTTAGCTGCTCCTGCACCCATACTGTTGCTAATAGTGCACTCAGTAACTGTCTATTGTCTTCTTTCCCTCACAGAGTCGAGTTTAGCTTCCTCGGTCAATTCTGAAAAGGGGCCCAACTGACATGATTTTTTGTCAAATGACCTGAAGCCATGCGGTAAACTATCAAATAATCGATGGGCTTGAGCTATGGAAAACTCATCCAGTTTTTGAATACTTCTCAGTTCATTTTAAAATTATAGAATGCACAATAGCATGTTGAAGGACTTCTAAATTCATCACTATAAATTTCCGCTCTGGGTAAACATTGACCTCATTTAGCATTGAATTGTCGATTATTGCGATGTTCTTTCCTGCATTTTTTACTTTTTTTTTTTTTTTCCTTGTGGAATTTTATGTTTCTTGATCTAACTGACGTCGCAGTTTGTTTCTCAGTTGTAATTGTTACGACAAACGCAGCAAACCCAAGAAAACAATAAAAAAAAAAGCACGACAGAAAATAAACACGTCGCACAAAGAACAAAAAGATTTAGTGTGGTTCGACACAAGTCGTGTCTACGACTCTACGTCCACGATGAAGATCCGGTGAAAGGTTTCACTATGCGAAAATCAGGAGATTACAAGTTTCAGCCCCCAAACTCTAGCTCTCACCCTCTTTTATGCGATTTTAAGTGTCTCTCGATGTCCCACTCCAAACCCTAAACGCCTTTATATATAAGGCTACAAGCAAGTATTGAACAGGGTCCATGACCCGCAAAGCTCAATCAATGGGTCGTCAGGTTGTTGCGACCCGAAACCAAATTCTAGCTGCAACATCACAGACAATAGTGTGATATCAGTTGAAAGTAGACAATTTGAGCAACACACCAGTGCATCTTGCGTTTAGTGTAATTCAAGAACTTCTTCATTTCTTGTTAATTTCCCTATTCAAGGATGTTTCTTATGTTCCAATTTTCTAACAGCAAACATATGGTTACAAATTGCTGTGACAAATAGCAATAATATAATATATGTGTATATGGTGATTGTGTGTGTGTATATATATATATATTATATTTTTTATGATGAATTAAATTTTAATAAAAAATAAAATTTCAAGGGTAGGAAATCTCCTAAATAGACACTATAAATATGATGTTTAAGATAAAAATAATTTACTTATCAAAATAAATGAAAAGAGAAAATTAGGTTAAAAAGGAATTAATAAGTAAGAACTGATCACATACTAGGTGCCTTAGTAGTAGATCAGCATAACAAGTTAGAAGTTGTATTGTATAATGTATGTGTGCAATTTCATGTGTTTGTATTAGGCTACTCATTATCAAATTTTGACTAGTAGCACTTATATCTGCTACAGCCCCCACTAACATTGAAATCAAATAGAAAGTTGCAACATGATGAATCACTTAGGTATGGCCATGGAGATGGGGGGAAGAAATGGAAGAGCTGGATATTAGGGAAGTGGTGAAATCGGGCCTTTAATACTGAATCTTACAGTATTGAATGATTTATCACAATGTCTTGTTATTCATCATCAATATGAAGCTGGTTGTCATTTTAAAATTTACCAATGAACAATGATATATAGCTGATTAGTACAACCTAGTTACTTTCTTGCTTTCCAGAGTAGGGAATCAAACTCATATCAGACTGGCACTAATGACATGTATTACTTGACTTGTTGATATTAAATTAGACCTGGCATAAAATATCATCAGAATTTTTTTTTTTGATGAGTAAAATATGATAAGAAATTATACTGTGTATATTTTCATTACTCAATATTGACTTGGACTGCTTTGTCAAAACTCAAAAGTACTTTCGCATTCAACATGTTTTAACCAATATGCTTTGCTGATCTTTAGAATAGGCGTATGAAATGGATGGATTTTGACGCTTGATTAAACTGTGTTGTCTATTTCTCAGGCTTTACATCTTTTTTGCAAGCAAGCTTTATGCTTATTCTGTATCTGTTTTCTTTTATGGTGTTTAACAGGATGAGAAATACTGGACTCTCATGCCTCCATTACCCTCATATGGGTATGGGAGAGAGCATCCTGGACCTCGATATGGGAGTTTGATACATGGTCAAAATCTAAAAGATGTAGTTATCACAGGTCAGATTTCTTATCCTCTATCCGCAGGTGGGAGTTCTATAAAGTTTTTATATATCATGGCAAAATCCTTGTTACTGAAAATAAATGTTCTCTGTTGGTTTTGAATGTTACATTCTGGTTTTATGCCTCTCCAAATTCAAGACTATAACAGCCTTGAACGTTAACCCAAGTCATTATACAACTGTACCAGATATAGTCCTGATTGGACTTTGACCTTTCAAGCAAGTTTTTGACCTAATTTTATTAGTGCTTTTTTTTTTTCTCAGGCTTTTTTTATTAATAACCAGAACATAATTGATAAAATAATTGCTGATTGTTTTTTTTTCAATAAAAGTATCTGGGCAAGAGAGAGAGAAGTAGAAGCTACAAAATTTGTTGTTATATGCAATTATCCCTGTGACAACTGTTGTCCAATTATTTCTGTGCCTTACAACTGCCTGAAATTGTTTTAGCTAGAAAATACTCGGGTTACAATGACAAGTGCTGTGGCTTATAATTGCAATCTTTATTATTCACATGGGCCAGTAATATTTTAATTGACACTTGGTCATTTACTGTCTCTTGTATGAGATATAGCCAGGAATCATACTAGTTAATTGTGCTTAGGAATTTCTTCTTTTGTACTAGCCATCTATGTAAACATTTAACTCCTTATATGATGGCTGAGATTGTAGGCTAGTCAAATGTCCTTGGATATAATCATGTTGGGCGTAGATACTGTTCACTTGTTCTCTCTGCAGTCGCCTAATTGCTAACTTGGTCTGATTTTATATATGTTATTGCTGGCCAACAGGGCATAATGGTACCATTAATGGACAGGGTCAAACATGGTGGAAGAAGTATCGGCAGAAGCTTCTCAATCACACTCGGGGCCCACTTGTGCAGATTATGTGGTCAAGTGACATTCTGATTTCTAACATAACTTTACGTGATTCTCCTTTCTGGACACTCCATCCATATGACTGTAAGAATGTAACAATCAGAAATGTCACAATCTTGGCTCCCATAGTTGAAGCTCCCAACACTGATGGTATAGATCCTGGTATGTTCTGCTGATTTACTGTTTATTTAATCAGACTTGTGGCAAGTCCAGTCCAGTTGACGCTATCCTCGGATAATAAGTCCAGTCCAGTCCAGTTGATCCAAGTCACTGGTTTTGAGTTGACTTTTGGATAGAGTGGGGCATAAATTCAACAAATTATATTTTGTTGGGACTTTGGCCTTGCCAGCCAGCTGAACAGGCTTGATCAATGAATTTGGAGAATGCTTTTTTAGAGTTTAAAAGTCTGTTCCCAGCCAGTTATATGTTGAAGATCAAAAGAACATGTCAGGGGATGAATATAGTTGGAATGTAGGATCACCTTGCTTTTGATCAAAATGAGTTCTTTATTTGCTTTCTATATGCCAAATAAAATGCTGCTGCTTCAATGATTTCAGTCATTCTATAAATTCTAGTTCAGGAAGCTATTCAGCCATTGTTTTTGTTGTTACAACTTACAAAATACAAGGTTACCTGATTAGCCACCATTGTTTAAACAGATTCATGCGAAGATATGGTAATTGAAGACTGTTACATAAGCGTCGGAGATGATGGTGTTGCAATAAAGAGTGGTTGGGATCAATATGGAATTGCTTATGCACGCCCATCAACGAATATTCTCATTCGTAACGTTATAGTTCGCTCGATGGTCAGGTTAGATATCTTACCATTACTTCAACTTAACAGAAATAGGTTAATGCTATTGGCTATGATGCATCAAGAAAGTATATCTAATGATTGCATTATGTAACTGTTAAACACGTGCAAGCCTAAGGAACCACTTCATGAGTCTTTTATTCATATATGCCAACTCATGCATGTTCAACAAGTCCGTGGCATAAGCAGCTTGATACAAGTTAAGACCTAAGGCAAAATTTACAATTGAGGCCTTTATATGTCTATCTTTACTAGAATTAATATTTATTACTTCTTAATTCTCTCCTTTAATTTCTCCTTCATTGTCAATTCCTTGATATTCTCCTGAATTTCTCAAAAATATTTGTACGTACTGATTATGTATACACAAATAAGTTGCCGAAATATTACCCCAAATAGTTGGAATACAGCTTTGTTGAGTTGTATTCATTTTGTTTCTACTCTTTCTTGACTTGAATAAAATGTGAATCTCTCCATTGTATATTTCCTTTTAATCGAAGGATAGTATTGTTTATTTGTTTGGAGGATGTAGAAAGAATGCCGTGGTGTACAAAGAAAGCACAAGCTTTCTTGTTATTGGCATATCATAGGTCAAATTTAGGGGAATTAAACAAAATTGCATTCCTAGATTGCTAAAAAAAAAAATAACAATACTGATATGGGTGGTTTTTACTTGTGCATTCAAAAAATCACTCGGGCAGATCATTATGTGTTTAACCTGATAGTTTCGGGCCATGGTAAATGGGCCAGTGATAATGTTTAATTGTTAGTCATGGTCAATTGAATGACAAGCAGCATATTGAGGCATGTGTTAGCGTCTTTCCATCTACTAGTCTTTGATAACAATATCTGCAAATGGTATGTATGGCAACTCATATCTAACTTGCCTGAACTGTAACAGTGCTGGCATCTCAATAGGCAGTGAGATGTCTGGTGGGGTCTCAAATGTTACTGTAGAGAACCTTTATGTGTGGGACTCAAGGCGTGCTGTTCGGATCAAGACCAGTCCTGGAAGAGGGGGTTATGTTCGACATATAACATATCGGAATCTGACATTTGACAATGTTCGAGTCGGGATTGTCATCAAGACAGACTACAATGAACATCCTGATGAAGGGTTTGACCCCAAGGCTTTCCCAACAATTGAGGACATAAGCTACACCTCAATCCATGGCCAGGGGGTCCGTGTTCCCGTGCGCATCCATGGGAGTGAAGAAATTCCCATTAAAAACGTCACTTTCCGGGATATGTCAGTGGGGATAACATATAAGAAGAAGCATGTATTCCAGTGTGCCTTTGTTCAAGGTCGTGTAATAGGGACCGTCTTCCCTGCCCCCTGTGAAAACCTTGATCTATATGACGAGCAAGGACAGCTCATTAAGCGCTCTGATGCCCAAAACATGTCAGACATAGATTATGATTTTTGAGAAATTGTCTGGTTTAAGTTTGGGTGTTAAAGGCTGGATTAGTTTATCTGGTTGTCCTGTTCTATATTTGTCTCCTCTCTCATTTGCTTTTCCTTTTTCTTCTCCTGTAATTTTGTTCTCTGTATACTGATGAGAAATATAGTGTCAAATGTCAAGAAAAGTTATTTTACCAACTGCGAGGGGTGGTGTTATTTCTATTGTCCTGCTCATAATCACGAGCAGATCTTGTACTTTACACATGGGATGATATGCTGCCACAAAATCTGAATCAATCAAGTATTAAAAAGATTCATAGTCCTTAGAATGGTTTATAAAAAATATATGGTTAGCTATTTATGAATGTGGATTTTACTTCCAGAGGTGTCTGGATTCATTTTGGTCAGATTGAAATTTTCCTAACAGATCTATTTGGTGTAAGGAGATGAAGACGACTAGGCAATTGGCATCAGTTATTTAACAATCCATTCAAACACATGTTGTGGCTGCTTCAAAGTTTGCTTTTAACTTCATAATACTATTGATTCAAGTCACATAATTCTTTTAAAGGATGTCGCTCTTGATAATTATATTCTGAACAGTTGTTGATTTCATGCTCCGTGCATGTTTCTGTTTTGTCTCCCACTCCGTGACTTGATTTTGTTGTTTTTGAGTTCTCAATCTATGTGAGTTAGGTATTAATGTCACTTAAAATAAAGGTTGGATGCACTCAAGTTTTGCTCAGAATAACTGTTTCGTCAATACAGATAAGTAAGTGTGTAAGTTTTTTTTGTTTGAAAAATTAATATAAATGGGATTTACTTACCAAACATAGATGTCACCGGTTTAGAAGCACCGTGTTCAATGAGAAAACCAAGATATTATATATATATATGAAATTTTTTATACAATGCCCCCTAAAATTATTAATTTTTAAAATTATCTCTTTTTTTTTTTTTTTAGTTTTTCTTAATTTACTCTTCAAATTCCTTTAAAAAAAGTTTAATTTTTTTTGTTAAATTAAAATTTTTATTTTTTTCTTTTTAAGTAGTGATTTTTCTTTTCTTTTTTTTTTCTCCCTTCTACTCTTTTAAATAATTTTTTTTTCTTAACATCTGGTCTCCTAAACTAAAATTCTGGCTTCCCTCTGGCTATTTAAATGATGAAAGTTAAAAAAATAATAATAATAATAAATTTGTTTAAATTATACAATGAATCTGAATACATTTACCTTTATGCCCATGACATGTGTCCTGAATAATATTGTTATGATGAGTGTTACTGTTACACCTTAAGTTCGCATCATTGGTTGATCTCTTTTCATCTTCTCTCTCTGTCTCTAGTACATGTGTGTGTATAAATAGTTTATATTAGGAAACTATATATGGGCACACTAAATTCAACTGTGGACTCTTTGTATGGTAATCAAGTTTGACCTCTTTTTAGTACATTTCTGGGTAGATTAGAATATCTTTCTTTAACAAGCAAATGTGGGACATTGAATAATGTAGTATTCGAGTTATTTCCGCGTTAGAATTTGCAATTTCTGAGTAATAATATATCACAATTGTGTGACCAGAAATGGTCAACATGGTTGAAGATAGAATATGAAATTATTTCTCAGTAAGAGTAATATATATATATATATATATGGGGCATATTTTAATTGCAGCTGGACTTTCCTAAGCTTTCTGGTATGATGTAGCTATCTCAACAGTTTCTAGGGAGCTCAAGCACCCCAACTTTCAATATTAAAAAAGTATAAAATAATAAATGTGAGGGTTGAAGCAACAATTCCTTATTTGAAAAGGTTCAAGCAATACATTTATGGCCCTTAAAATCCACCATAACTTGTTTAGTTGGCATGATGTAACACAATTAATAACAATCTAATATTGCCAATGACCACGTCCTTCAATAATGAAATTTTTGTTTTTTAATAAGACTCGATATATTATTGTGAAAAACAGCATTTGGCCTAAGCATATGTAGGTATGATTAATTTCAACTCTTAAAGTTTGTTTAGGCGAATATCTTTTTGTATTAATCATTATTGTCTAAGAAACGAACTAGATTCTTGTACCCTAAAAATATTTTACAAGGAGGCCATCATTTGTGGTTTAGGAATAAAGAGATTGGAAGACATTATAGTTGAGGCCTACGAATAAGATTACTTTTATGAGAGTTTTGTACTGTGTGTGTTGGGATTCATATTTTTCTATAAATAAGAGTAAATTATTTCTTCTTTTTCACGGACATTAGGTTAATGGAGTAGTCAATGGACACCGTTAAATGCTCCTCCTCGTGAAACCATGAAAATATTTTAATTTCTTAAATAAAAAGTGCAAAAATAAAATAAAATAATATTAAAATTTTACATGATTCACCCAAATTAAGGGTTAAGTCAATAGATAAGAAAATTTCACTATATCAATTTAGAGAGATATTATAACACTAGTAAATTCTCTTCACCCATTATATTTACACCCTCACGAGTTTGTTCTTACGGGTTACATGTCTCTTCACGCATACCTTTCATCAACAATAACCTAAGTATCTATTTATAGAGCCCAAACCTCAACAAAAATCACAATTCCCTCTAGTTATCAAAAAAATTACATGATAAAATACGACTCTAAAATAGACACATAGTCGTAATAGAATTTGAGAAATCCTTATTATCCTAATAATATTTACCTTGTCTAACATTCGCATGTCTACTTGCATTAATACTCCCTCTATCCCATAATAGTTGGGGTGATTTGCGAATTGTGAATCGACGGAGTTACATAATATGCCCGCCATAGTCAAAACCTATATGTGTTTTATGGGATCATAGGTTACGATTAGTTCATCGCATCTATCTAGTAATTCGTATTCGCAGGTCATAATTGTGTCAGGTCAACTTAAAGTTATTATATTAAATAAGTCGACTTGAACACGATATGTTTAATAATCGTGTCAAGAATTTTTAACACTAACATGTTCTATTTATTAAAAAAGTTACACGTGTAATTCATTTAATGATCTATTTACTAAAATAAAATATTATATTATTTAGATTATTTAATACTCAATCTAATAATAAATACTAAAAAATATATAAATTTCAATTCAATCAAATTACTACTAAATTGTCTCTAATCCACAAAAAAAAAAAAAAAAAAAAAAAAAAATTTATACGATGTAAAATACAAGTTTAAATAGTGATAAAGGAATCAAATTTTTTTTTATTTATAACACATATAACTTAAATTATAATAAACAGAATACATTTGTCAATTCAAACGTGACACAATTACTTAAACAAAATTAATTGTATAAACCTTTTTAACAAATTTGGACACCCTATTCCTAGTATGGTGCGCCAAAATGGGGGCGGTTCTCGTTTTGGGTGTCAGTTACTCAGTATCGTCAAAACGGCACAGTATTAGTAATACCATTTTTTCATTTTATATTTATACTAATAAATACTAGTCTCTTAAGCAGGTGGTGTTGTAATTTTGGTGAAGTAGAAGGTTGTTTCATCTGGCAATATCAATGTGAACACGTTGTTCACGTGGTAGATGCAGAAAGACTTTTCAAACACGTCATTTACCACCACTGACCATCTCAAGATTTGCAGACACAACAAATATCAAAAAGTAGGGCTACTGGTTCTACCTTATCGAGTAGGATTTGGATTTTATGTCATAACGAGATACACTCTGAAAATAGTACATTTACATTTTATTATTATTATGTTGGTTTAATTTAATATCTTCACTCTTTACCGTATTTACATATATCAAGTTATGCTTTTTTTGTTTATTCCTGAAAACAAAATCGCCTATTGTTGAATATTACTCCCTTTATCTCATAAAAAATATCTTTTTTAAAAAGTTATGATTCTCACAAATTAAATTGCCATAATTTCTCTAAAATGATACTTTTTTTTGAGGCGAAAGTAATACTTTTTATTTTATTTTTTACTCAGTATATATTACCTTATTTAAAGTAATGTCCAAAAAATAGAGAGATTGATATAGTAATAGAATCAGAATTAATTCGACAAAGTGGAGAAATGCTACTGGGCTATTATGTGATTAACAAGTATTAAATATACTAAAGGAAAAAATATATTCAACAATCATAAAATATGTTATTTTATAGGGTTAATTCCATTAACACTTTCTGACATTTTGATAAATTTCATATAAAGACACATTTTTCAAAAATATTATTATTCACATTACAACCGTTTGAACCATTTTTTACTTATACTCCAAATGTCACTTTTTAGAGGTATTGAAACACTTATTATATGTAAAATGATATTATTACTCTTTTAACTTTGTGTTAACTTACTAAAGAGTTGTTTTGTGTATAAAATAATATATATTTTTTTGAGAAATGCTACAAATTTACATCCAAAATTATTTATTTACGTAAATAATAATGTTAACATTAAATAAAAATTTAATTGAATATTAAATATATTCAAATTTTAAATACATTATATATAAATTTTTATTTAAATATATATGTTAAGAAGCTTTATATGTATGATTATCTAATTTCATGTTTTTAAAATTTATTTCTATTAAATATATTTAAAATTAAATGTATTGTATATAAATTTTTATTTAAATATATTTATTAAGAAACTTTATATTTGTAGTATTCAATTTCAAGTTTTTAAATGTCTCTATATATTTAACGATGCTGATGTTTTGAATTAAAAATAATAATAAATGAGGGTAAAATTGTTATTGTACACATTCTTAAAGGTAAAGTAACGAAAAAGTTGTCGGTCAAAAATTCAAAATGAAAGTAGTTTTCAAAATGTCGTGTTATTAAAATTAACCTCTATATATATATATATATATATATTAGAACACTTGTATTTAAAGACGAATTTAGAAATTGTAAATAAGGTCGATTAATGTTTCTTTGGGTGGACTAATAGGAGTAGTAATAATATATATATTTGTTGGGCTGGCTAAAATTAGGTATAAAAAAAGATAAAATAAAAAAATAAAAATAATTTGGTGGGCTTGGGTGATCAGCTCTACACGCACCATTCTAGTCAAGAGTCTGATTCGAAAACAAGATCTTAAATACCCAAATTCATTTGAACGAGTGAAAATACTAAGCAATAGAAAAGAAACATAAATACCCAAATTTCTGTGACGAAAATGCAAATGTCAGTTAAGGTGAAAAATATATGCTGGTAAAATATTCATAAAATCGACTATCATACAAAAAATTTTAAAAATAGTTATAACAGAAAAATATAAAAATTATGATAATTGTTATAAGATGCACCATCCACACCCTTTTCATATCAAAATGTCTCAACCTCACCATGGGTTCACATGATAGTGATATTATCCAAATTTGAACTAGAAAATTGTTAATACTTTTTTTTTTCTTTTTTTTTTCGGCAGTTAAAATTGTTAATACTTTGTTTACCAAGAAAGGAGAATGTTTTAAAATAGTTCTGATGGTGTGAGTGTCCTACACATCAAGACGAGTATGAGCTGGAGTCTGATAGCCAATTGATTGATCGAATCAAGTTCAACCAGTCACATGTACATAGTACTATATTTAGGCACGTGCCAGAGAAGATACAGATATATATATATATATATATATATATATATATATATATTATAACTATAAAAATTCGGACGTCACAATCACGGGGAGGGGAAGATGTTCGCCTCCCACCAACCGCTGAGATTCCACCACGTGTTACGGTGCATGTGCACCACCAACTCCTCCGCGTTGCCTCAATTCTCACGCGGAATTGTACCTTCCACGTGTCGAGCAATGGTTTGTCTAAGGAACGTGCAATTGCCGTTTGCTTTTGTTCCAGTCTTTTCGAATTTAGATGGGGGGTGCGTGGTGGTGGCCCACTCCTGTCGCTTGCTTACCTGCAAGACGGCACGTAGTATACGCACTCACAAGATCCCTAACCTAATTCCGTTTATTCTGACGCCGTCCGTCCATTTCAATTCATGTTCACGCACTGCACAAAGATATCAATCCCACTTTACTCAATTTACCAAACTACCCCTTCCCAATCGCACGCTGTTTGCAATTTGGGAACAACATTTGACCAAATTCTAAAATAGGATTCATATTATTTGGAATGAAATAAATTTAGAAGTGGTGGGATTTTTAAAACTAATATTTAAAATTTACTTAATTAAAATTTTCAGTTTATCTGATTTAACTCTTATTTTAGTATCTTAAATTCTAATTTTATTTAGACACACAAATAAAATTTCATTTCAAATTCAATTTCTTTATCTTTTCAAAATACATAGGATTTAGTTCCCCACTAAACGAGGTTAGTAGTACTGGTAAAACAAATTTTATAAAACTATTTCCTGTAACGTAAACTTAAATAGTATTACAAATTCTAAGTATTAGGGTTGGGTAAGTCTAATAGGAAGTAGTATTTTTTCTCCAAATAAAAATATTGAGGTTAATTCTCATATGAATAAATGAGTATGAGTTTTTTGCCAAAGAAAAAAAAAAAAAAAAAGAATAATCTAAGCTACAATATTAATTAAACAAATATAGTTGAAAATTCAGTTACTTAGCTTTAAGCCAATTTTGATATTACCAAATAATTTTACTTTGAAACTTGATAGTTGAGGCATCTTGAAATTGACAAAAACTAAACTTATGATGAACTTTAAAAAAAAAAAAGACAAAAAAGAAATCCTTCTTATTTTTATAAGTCTCTTAGATAAATATTTAACATATTTGATCTCATACCAAGTTCAAAAAAACAAGTTATATACTGTAAATACATATTTAGAAATCCATCATTAATGTTAAACTATTTTTTTAAGTGGTTCTTTTACCAAATAAAGATAATTAGATGGTCACAATTGCTAAGAGCATTTCCAATAGACTCTCTAAAATTAGGGCTCTTCGAATTTGCCATATCAACATTTTTTAATAGCCACATAAATATTTCCCGTGGCCACGTCAGTATTTTAGAGTGTCTAAATTTTAACTATAGCATGTACTCCAATGGTGTACTTTTGCTCTCTAAAAATATTAATATTTTAAATATTTTAATATTTTTAAAAATATTAATATTTTAATATTTTTAAAATTAAAAATAAAATTTATTTTTTAACTTTTTCTTAACGGCTATATTTCTAATGACTATAATGTCAATAGGAACATTAAAAATTTAAAAATGAAAAAAAATAAATTTTTTTCAATTTTTTAAAACTTTTTTTTGTCTAAAAAAGCCTTTAAGGCACTGTTTGTATCAGCCAAACAGTGCCTTAATGACTATTTGGTTCAATTATTTTAAAAAAAGAGAGATATTTCAGTCAAACATGCACTTAGGAATAGTATTCTGGGCTTAGGAATAACATTCTAGCCTGAATTTAAAAGATGAAAGAAAATAAAAATGGGTTCACAAAAAGTGAGCTCAATCACCAAACTACTCTCCCTTTTTGGCGACCTCCTCCATCAAGAGTCATTCTTTAGAACCCACTTTTTACATAGTTCATTGGAGCATTCATTCTTCAAAAATTGGTCCAATTTTACCAAAAAGAGCACTGACGGAGTTGCTCTAAAAGTTTAAATTAAGAAGAGAAGCAATAAAGGTAAATAATAATAATACGATAAATGTATTACTCTTTGTAAATTTAATGGAAGATAAATTTATGTATTACTCTTTATAAATTTAATGGAAGATAAATTTATTTTTTTTAATCATTTACATAAGTGATTTGTGATTGTTTAAGATTAGAGTCTAATCTATGGGTCTTGACTTTTGTCGGCAGTTTTTGTCAGTGCATTATCAATAATTTATTGAGGTAAATGGTTGGTTTTTAAATAAGTAAAAAAAACAAAATAGAGAATTGGCAGGAAACCGGGGCGAGACGTAAAATAATTGTAAAACGTGGGCGGTATTGGAATAAGAAAAGGTAACACGCAATGGACACCGCTTTGTGAGGAAAGAACACGTGTTTGGAATTGTGGAATAGAAAAAAGAAGAAAGAGAAACATTTAAAAAATATATTAAATAATTAAGGTTTGGAAGCTGCAACGAACCCACCAAAAGCCCCATATATTCCTCGTGCTTTTTTGTCACAGGAAAAGAGATAAGGCTTGTAGCTTACAGAGGTAGAGAGAGAAAGAGAGAGAGAGGGGTACTAGTAGTATATAGATAGATACGGAAAAAGCGTTTTGCTCCAAGTACATTCATCTAAAGCTTGCTTCGAAGAACGAGAGAGCTTTGATATTGATTATTCTCTGAGCATTGATTCTTGGTAACTAGGTTTTCGTATTTGGCTTTCTACAACGACAAGGTCACAAACAGATCGTGTTTTGTTCACCGGAAACTATGTCCAGCTCGTCGGATTTTACTGATTCGGTGCAGTTTTCCGGCCAGAGGCCGGTGAGAGCGATGGACAAGCCGAATTTTTCGCATACTTGCAGTCTTCTGAGTCAGTACTTGAAAGAAAACGGAACATTTGGAGATCTCAGTCTCGGGATGACTTGCAATATTGACACAAATGGTACGTACGGTCTTCGTTTTTCTCTTCTTCCGATCTCAAACCTGCAATTTTTCGTCTCTTTCGGTGAAACAATATCACAACTTTCAATTGTCTCCTACAACTATTCAATCTTGCCTCCTAATTTACGGACTAATTAATGTGTGATATTCTAGGTATCTGTTGAATCGCTAAAATTGCTTTGTTAATTTTTTTTTAATTATGAAAACAAAGCATATTTCCATTTATATTTTCATTTTTTTTTTCTTTTCTGGTAATAGATAAAAACCTGTTTATGTATATGAAAACCTCTTTCTTGTATATAAGAAGGTGCTCGGTCTCGAACTGAAATAGAGATCTGATTGTGCTGTTTGCTATGTTGCAGGCGTGCCTGATACCTTTCGTCCGTCTGCGATGGCAACAACTATGGATTTGTTCCCAGTGATGGGGAAATCGGGTGGTTTGACCCAAAATGCAGCCGGGTTGCCCCTGTTTCCTCAGCAAGCTGGTTTTGCTACCAATCTCCCAAAGGAAGAAGTCCCCAAGAAAGTTGATTCCAGGTGCGTTATAATCCGAAAATTACAAAATACAAAATACAATAATAATATATATACTGTAGATGTGTGTAGTGGATTAATTGGGCATTGTTGCAAGTGTTGGTACTAAACTTGTGTTGTGGCCTGCTATTAAATGGTTCTAAGGAATTGAAGGAATCATACGGAGTTTCCTAATTTCTATAACCATAGAGGACTGTCTTCATTATTGAGCTAATAATAATAATTTCCTGGATATTGGGAACTTAATAGCCATGAACTAGCCTAATTAAACACGATATTTTTCAATTAAATTGATTATAATTGGTCATTTATGTAGCAGGGTTAACAAATCTGAGCCTGAAACTGCGCAAATGACCATATTTTATGGTGGGCAAGTTATCGTGTTCAATGACTTCCCGGCAGAAAAGGCAAAGGAAGTGATGCAATTAGCTAGCATGGCTAGCTCCCATAACCCTAAGAAGTTGGCCCCTAATCCGATTGAGTCCACCCCTTTGATTCCCTCCTGCTCAAATGTCGCCCCTTATTTGGTCAAGGACAGCGTTCAACTGCAGCAGCCTCCTCAACCCATGGTCACTGGTAAGCTTTTTACTCTCCTTGCTAGCTTCTGTTCATTTGAAAATTGGGAATTATGGAGTGTTATTAGAGTGTTTTGAATATTTCTGATGGATCTAATGAGGAACTCTTTTTCACATGTGCAGATCTACCAATTGCAAGGAAGGCTTCACTCACCCGGTTCTTGGAAAAGAGAAAAGATCGGTAAGCAATCAAAAACAAAAACAATTGAAACAATTGCTAGTTGGTTATGTAGAGAGAGATATAGCAGCAGATCAATCTATGTATGAAAAAAAAATGTAATTATGATTTGTTTGTGAGCTTTGGTGATTGGGATTAATTTTGCAAATTGAGCAATGCAACTGCTGCTATATTTCCATAAACAATAAGATAAATGTTTGAATTATACATGTTCATAAATTGATCTTGTTATTTCTGTGTTTTGCTTTTTTACAGTATTACGGCTCAAGCGCCATACAAGACAAGCAATTCGGCTGCTGAACATCCTTCCAAGCCTGCCGAAACCAAGTCATGGCTAGGCTTAGCTGCTCAATTCTCCGCTGCAGTTTAAGCACCATTTGCAGTCTCTCTTTTTTTTCCTGGCTATATTTAGTTGTCAGCAGCAGCAGCAGCACTGCAATCTTAATTAACTATATGTTTTGGGCATTATCTATTTTGGCTTTATCATGCCCAGTCTTTAGATCTAACTGTTCTGATCTTACTATTAGTTTCTGTAAGAATTTAATTATCTATATCTTTAATGAATTTTTTATTTCCTAATGTAATTTTTAATCTGGAAATGGATGTGTGCGCAGTCAAACCACAACTCAAAAGGATTTGAGTTCAATTCCATTACTCTCTGTATGTTAAAATTCCTGGAAAGAGGGTTTTGATCTTCTTTATATTCATAAAATTGATCCACGGCCTTTAAGACTATATCAAAATTTGCCCAACATTTCTCATTAAATACCCACCTCAGTTCAATCATCATTCTTCCATTTTAATAAAATTTCAATGAAGAATTTAGAATCACCGTTCTGTATTTGTTTGGGAATTTCGATAAACAAAAATTATGTTTATAATTTATTTATTTATTTCTGCCATTAGCCTTCAATGAAGAATTTAGAATCACCATGGTATATGGTTGGGAATTTTAATGAACAAAAATTATGTTTAAAATTTATTTATTTCTGCCGTTAGCCTTCAAGAGGTGTCTCGAATTTTCTGAACACCATGTAGATGTGTTGATTGAAAATGGTCCGACACACAGGCACGGACTGGACCGTGGGGGCGGATGTTTCCATTGAATTTTTTATATTTTTTTTAATATATATTTTATATTTTTTAGAATTTATAAAAATGTTTCAACTAAATTTATAATTTGTTTTACTGAATTATTTTATTAGCATTTTATACTTTAAATTTTGAAAAATTTAAGAAGAAAATTCAATTAAAATTATAAAAATAGACTCACTATATAAATTTTTTTCACAAATTAAAAATTTATAAAAAAAATTTAATTAAAATTATAAAAATAGACTCACTATATAAATTTACGTTACTAACACAATGATATGTAAATTAAAAATTAGTTTAATCTGGCAATTTGGCTCACATGATAAATTGTGCTGATTAAAGTCGATTAAAGAATGTGAAAAGACGCGCATTTGAAAAATGCACCCAGAAAACTAATGGACTACTTACTTTTGAATAGAAAATATCTTTAATGAAATAAAGTAAGTTCACGAGACGAATGGTGTATATATAATTATTACATAGTGTATAATCTATATATATGGACCACGACGGGTCAAGTGGTACGCACCAACCAGTGTTAGGTGTCGGTAGGAATCTATAATACTTGATAAAGAAGACTTTTATTTTGTTCACGTTGTTCACGTCTAGACTCATGGTTATTAATTTATGGACAGAAAAAGACATATCGAGTTATGTTGTAGTATACGGCATAGTTGTTTATTGGCATCACATGACAATATTTTGACCCATTCCCCCTCTATTGACCCATTCCCCCTCTGCATATATATATATATATATATTGTCATGTGATGCCCATAAACAACTATGCCGTATACTACAACATAACTCGATATGTCTTTTTCTGTGATATATATATATATATATATATATATATATATCATCCATAATTATCATGGTCCAACTGAAAGGTGTCACGGGTCAAGGTACTAGTCCAATTGAGGGTTCACTCGATAAGTTATATAATTTATTAAATTATAAAAAAATAAAACTATACATAGAAAAATTAAAATACATAAAAGAAGTATCCAACATGACATTGTGATATTAGAATGAACTTACATACCATGATCGAAAGTTAGCTAAGCTTTTGTGTGGTCTAATGGTGTTTTTCCTTTGTTTAATTTAAAAAGTAGATGGTTAAGTGACCTAAGTCTCTCCTAAAACAATATTGTCGAAGTTCTTTTCGGAAGAAATATATTTATATAAATGTAATTGTAATTCGCAGTGCGCACACACACACATATATATATATATATAGATATGTATATACCCATGTAGTTGTTGTGACTTGTTACTCTTTTTGTTAAACCTAAATTCATGGTCTCTGGCACTTGACACCTCGAAAAATACACTCCCTCTACTTATTAGGAGTTGATATAAATTTATTTAGATCATAAAAAAAAGTAAACAATGTCCTTTGATTCACACTAACATAAACCTTTAAGCAATTAAAGCTTAATTCATGGAATCAAACCTTTTCAAACCGATGTTTTATAATTTTGATTGGTTCATTTTATACAGTTTGTCGGTCTTATTCTGGATCTGTTTAGAACCATTTTTGTTTAAATTTAGAATAATTCTTGCCTTAGGCCACATAAGAAGGAACCTCATTCTTATGATGAGGTGGCCCAATAAAATATTAATAAGTGTTAGAATTTTAAAAGGAAAAAAAATGATGGGAATAGAAACTGACTATTACCTCTTTCTCTATCACGCAGCCATATATATTATTTCTGTGTTTTGAATCTAAAATCAAACATTTATATATATATATATATATATTATTTCTGTGTTTTGAATCTAAAATCAAACATTTATATATATATATATATATATATATATATATATATATATATATATATATATATCAGATTGACATCTTTCAGTTATATATGAGAGTTAAGACAAATAATCACTCTAAATTCATGAAAAATGATATATTAATCATGAATTCGTTTTCATGATACTAATCGTGAGTATTTATTTATTTTTTTTTCTAGGGTTTTTTGTTGAAATTTTTTTTTTCTTTCGCTTATACATAAATTTCAAACTTTTCATGTTTATCTTCCTTTCTTTTTCTTTTCTTTTCACATCCCAATCTCTCCTAAATTACAAAACATTCTATGTTCATCTTCTTTTCTTTTATATCTAATTACGAACTTCTCATCCAAATTAAATTATTTAAAGATAATTATCACCAAATAAAAACAATAAAAATAGATTTATTAGATTTTTCTATCGAAAAAGTTATTTAATTTGGTATAATGTGCCGTTTATACATTATATATAACATGTAATTCTATATTTGAAAGTGAGAACATTATCATTAGCTAATGTAGGCCTAGGGTCATTCCCTCACCTGGGCCCACTCTTTATAATATGTGGTGTATATATATATATTTTCCCTCTAGAACAATGTTTAATTTTATATTCAAAACACAAAAGTAATATTGATCAATTTCTATTTCCTGTAGTCATTATTTAAAAAAAAAAAAAAAAAAAAAAAAACCTTTAACACTTGTTAATGTTTTATTTGATCACCTCATCATAAGGAGGTTCTTGCTTATGCGGCTTAAAACAAACATTGACTTTAAATTTATACCTTCTAAACTAAATAAAATTGAATTGGTGTGGACCCCACCTAGAGTTATGGCCCACGTTTGCAAACATATTTGTGAAATAGCCTGTTCCTGTCTGGGCCTGAGTCTTGTTGGAGGAATGTTCAACATTTTGTAACTAAAGTAAGTATATGGGCTCTCAAAAAATTCATGGGCTTAGAAGAGAATCACTTGAACCCAAACTTAATACATCATTTAATAAAAATTCAAAATCCAATCAGATCCAGAACCTTTGAATTAGCAGGTTCAATTGTTTTCAAGGATGTCTCTCTCTTCCATTAAAACTTTGCTACAGTTTCCATCGAACTTTTTGAACAGAAAGAGAACGAAACTATATGATTTATTTATGTTGGGAAGAAATCATTAGATAATCTTTGCTTTGTTATTGAGAATTTTAACGTATGGCATTACATTTAAATCGAAAGAATGTAGTTGAGGGTTTAATTCTAGAACAGTGTGTGTATATCTCTATTGCTATTATTAGAGTTAAGCATTATGGCCCAATTTGGACTGTGTGAGATAGGCATTGTATTAGGAAGAATATTTAAATTTATTCATAAATATCAGTACTTCTCGAACATAATTGAATTTCAGAAAAAATACAAATAAGTCTTATAGTTTTATTAAATATAGAAATCTCTTTCTCTCTCTCTCTCTCTCTCTCTATATATATATATATATATATATATATATATTATAAAAGTGTGCAGGTTCCTACTTTTTAAGGGGAGATTAGGATTCAGTGAAGGCATGCCTGTGAAAAAAAAAAAAAAAAAAATCTATAAAAACTTTTTCCTATTTTAATCATTTTTCATATTTTTTAAAATAAAAAAAACAACTTTTATATTTTCATTTTTTCAAAAAGTATTCGTCAGCGAATTTACTAGTATCTTATAAACGAAGTCACTTGTATCAATCATTTTTCCAACTTGATCCACTCTTATTATTAACAAATTTGCATTAATTTAAAAAGTGGGAATACTTTATTTCTCAAAATAATATATTGTTAGGTGTCAGACATCATCAAAAACTGTAAATTTTAACTATATCAATCATTCATCTAATTTACTTTTTATTTATATGGATTTGAACCTCAATCTTTTACTTTAGAAAGTAAGAAGTGAGGGAGATGTTACTGAAAATTAAATACTCAAAAAATTTAATAATAAATTAGTAATGGTAGATATTTTAAACAGTTAATTTGTGGATATGAAAATTATGAATCCGGTTTAGATAAAGTTTAGAAATACCACAAAGTGAAAAGAAAAAAGACATTGATTAAACTCTTAAATAGTTCAGGAACTTCTTGATTTGGGAGTCCTGATTTTAGCCCTAAAAATATCTATTCATTTTTATATATAATCCAAACCCTTTTTAAGCGGTATATATACTTTTTTAAATACCAATGAATTGTATTCTTAAAGACATTTTACATAGTAATAAAAACCACTAGTAATATTTAATATTAAATTTTTTTTGGCAAGTTATTTAATATTAAAATGAATTACCTTATAAAGAAATCTTAGTATCAGAAATGAATGGTATTTATACCGATTGCATTGATCACTGAGATGCAAACGGGCGTACCAGATTAGGGTCGACGGCATTTCTGAGATCATTATATCGAGTGCGACGTTTCTTTATCGACTCTCCGTTCCCTCTTTCCTTATTTTCCCCCTCTCAGTCGAGGGTTTTTTATTTTTATTTTTTTTTTCATTTTTTTTTTTTCAATTTTTTTCCTCCTCTCGTCTTCGTCGTGTCTGAAACAAAACCCTAACTTTTCCAGGACAGTTTTCTCTTCTGTCATTATATATATATATTATTACTATTCACGAATATGCAACCGCAGAGACTGAAGCAGCAACAAACATTGATGCAGCAATCTCTTTACCATCCTGGTCTTTTAGCCCCTCAGGTTTCTTCATTTATTCTCTTTGTATTTTTTTGCATTTTTTCTGATATTTTTTTCTTTGTTTTGTTTCTTTTTTTTGCTTGATTATTTTGTTTCTCTTTCCTTTTCAATTATTATTTTTATTTTTTGTTTTTCTGTGTGGATTATGATTCAAAAAAACTAATAAACTAGGTGTTGTTTTGATTTCGGTTTCTTTTTTTCTGTTTTTGTAGATTTAACAAGTCCAAACTCAATTTTTTATTTTTTTAACTTTGGGACTCGTTTATTGAGGAAGATCGAGTTTTTTTTGTTGTAATAGTTTTACAAAGCACTTTTATTTTATTTTATTTTTAATTTTCGAGTGTTTTACTCATTGGTTATATGTTTGTTTGAAATTGTGGGAAAAGAGCAGTGAAAGTTTTCAAATTTTTTAGATTTTCCTTGATCTGTGAGCTGAGAAGCTGGAATATCTATTCCAATGAGCTTACTTTAACTATGAGGCTTACCTGAATAGGTTATTTTCAATACTAATAATTCTTGGGGAATCTGAATCCCTGCATATGGTTCAAAGTTGTTAAAATGCTTGCCTTCGGCAACTCAACCATGGACTGAGATTTTCTTTTGGTTCTTCTTTTTTAGATGTGCTGAATTTTTTGTTGCTCTACTGTTTAAACAATCGCGTGGGTGTAATTTTGTTCTACTGTTGTATTTTTTGGCTTCGAATAATTTGGTTCTGAATCATCTTTTCCCAGTTGAGATTTTGAATTTGAGTCTGCGAGAGGATATGGTTGTAAGCATTTAACTTTCACCGTGTAACTTGGAATTCAAGTATGATTGAAGACATGTTTTAAGGGTTTCATTTTAGCTGTTCAACTTGGAATTTAAATATAGAGACATAGTGGGAAATAAGGAGAAGATATTTTTCAAGGCTATGCTCATTTTTGTAGATGACAGTTTTCAGATCATCCGTGAAATGAGATCTTTCTAATTTGTATTACTGGCGGGGTGTGTGTATGTGAATGTGTGTCCTTGTGTGGGTGTAGGTGTATGTGCCTGTGCCTGTTAGCTATTGTTTATTTTGGAGTTATATCTTAGTTAAAAGTTTCTAGAAAAGAAAATGAAATGCTAAAAGCTTTTGAAAATAACTTCCTTTTTTGTTCATTTATATAATACTACAAGTTAGGAATCCTTTTTGTCATAATAATTATTGAATTTTTGTTGTTAGAGCTTTTCTGGTTTAAACACTTCAATTGGAATCCTTTTTGTCAAAATAATTATTGAACTTTCAACTTTTCACTGTGATTCTGTTTTAAATTGGCTGGAAATTCTTTGAGGCCTTATCAGCTGGAGCCTAGTTTTGAGATACTCTCTGTGGTCCCTAGGACATTTTGGGGATTATAAATCCAAAAATTTGGATATATGCTTTTGTTATTTGCGTTGGCATTTTTTTATTTTATTTTATTTTATTCTAATTGCTGTTTGAAGATTTGTGGACTAAGTCAAGTGTATTTCTCCATCATTTTCCCTCTAGTCTCTTCTGGTGGTTCACTTAAACAAGTGAGTTAGTAGTATTAAAGAAATCAAATGAATGGAGTCGATTAGGAAATGAAGCATTAAATAGATATTGGATAAATGTGATCAGTATTCTGGCAAAATTTTCTTTATAAAAATACTTATAAAAAATTAATAATAATAAAAAATCAATTTCTTTATAAAAATGGAAGACCGGGATTCTTGTTTGTTTGCTGTCATCTGTCTACTTTCAATATTCCTAATTTATTACGTTTACATGACTCCATGAGTTTCTTTCTTGCATGTTTTTATTTATGGTTAAGTGCGGAAAACACCCCTAAAGTTTATTCCGCATAGCGCTTTGCCCCTTACTTTTTAAAACGTGCTATGTGAACCCTTATTTTTGAAAAAAAAGTGCGGAAACACCCTTCAAACTACTTGTTGCAGAAAAGTGACATAAAATAATGCTTACATGACAGTTTTTCTTTTTTACCCTTCCGAAATTGCCTTTGGGGGTGTGGATTATATATATTTGCAATGTTTAGGGGTGTTAAGGGCACATGAACCCTATAAGATAGAACGAGAATGTTCATATGATAATTTGGGTACAATATAGTGATTCAAGATCATCAACTGTCTCTTGTTTTTTCCAACTGTTCTTTGCAAACTGCAACTTTTTACCCTTGTACCAAGTAATAATCTTTATTTTTTAGCTTGGCCTGTCCAGTTAAAGAATGATTGAAGCCATTATTCTTTGCATTTTATATAAAAAAAAAATTAGAAGAAAATGCATCTTTTAAGCCAAAGGCAGCAAATATAAGTTATATATCAAGCAACTTGAGCCATTATGCTTTACTTGTATCGGTCATAGGATTCAACTCCTATCTAATTAGACTATAAATTGAAGGCGGACACACCTTGTGGTTGACCATTCCTTTGTTCTTGTCAACAAAGGAAGCTCCTTATTAAGTTATGTGTGTAAAATTCCATGGCATTTCTTTTTATGTATATTCTGGACTAGGCTCACTTAGTACTGCTACATTCCAAAATGTTGTGTGTGTGTGTGTGTGTGTGTGTGTGTATATATATGGACCTACACATTAATTTATAAAAGGCTCAGTCGCTACTGGATATATGTAGCATTTTAATTGTATACTAGTTTCATCATTTTAATTGTAATTGTACAATGTCCGATGGAACAGCTCAACAATGCAAGGCAGTCGAAAACAAAGTCCAACCAAGCAACTTAATTGGTCGACAATAATTGTATTTAATTGGGCAATTGATTTGCAGCAAAACCTAATATCTAATTTGACATTTAAGAGTGGACTTCTATCTGCTTCCATGGCAATTAAGTCTCAACATTAGTTGTTCTACGATGGAGTAGTCTATGTACTTACTATAAATTTTAAGGTCATTATTAAACTAATTAACTGAAGACAAATTAACTCAAATGAATCTGAATAGCTAGGTTGGTTAAAAAAAAAAAAAAATTCTGAATAGCTAGGGTCATGAGTTGTGTCTGTTAGAGCCTTTTGGTATTAATCAAGAGGTGTCAACTTTGATTATTCTCGAACTAATCCATACTCATGGTTTTGAAATAGTTATGTAAATTATTTTCTGAGAACGATGGTAGCGGGCAATGGTGATGGGGTTTCGTTAGGAATTTGAGGTGGGTGAAGAAGGTGGGTTTGGAGAGAGCCATGGTAGAGAGAGAGGGAGATTAGGGAGTCCTCTTTTATCATTTCACAAAAACATCTTTTCTAAAATAATGTGTATGTAAGGGTAATTTGGTCAAACTCTAATTTTAATGTGTCAGGTAGGACTTATTTGCACATTTTGGTAATTTGGGGGTGTTTTGTGCACCAGGGGATATGTACAAGTATAGTAGAGGGGTGTTTTCTGCACGTAACCCTTTTTTTTATCCATCTGGTTTCTTACAGTGCTTGCTGATTTTGCAGATTGAGCCTATCTTGAGTGGAAACCTGCCTCCTGGGTTTGATTCAAGTACATGCCGTAGTGTGTAAGTGTCACTTTTCTGTTCACTCTTTTGAACTATGTTTAACTCGTGTCATTTCAACAGGGAAAATTAGGTGTCATTATTCGGTTCGCTCTTTTGAACTATGTTCAAGTGTCATTGGAACATGGAAACTTAGTTCCTGCCTCGATCTAGTTTTTAAATGTTGCATATCAACAATATTATACTTTACATACAAGAGAATATTCCTTTCTCACAGTATATAAGTATATCTTATCTTATCTCTTGTTATTATATGGTTTTCCCCCCTAAATTATATGTTTTGCTTTGTCCACACATCAAATTTTCAATGAAATTAGATTCCAAGTGTTAATATGGTCATGCTGTTTTTGATCACTTTTTAATCTATGATATAATGCAGGTATGTTGGAAACATCCATCCACAGGTTACTGAACCACTTCTTCAAGAGGTTTTCTCAAGTACCGGTCCCTTGGAAGGATGCAAGCTGATTCGAAAGGAGAAGGTCTATTTTTAATGTTCTCATTTCAAACCTCCTTTTGTTCATGATGTCTACACTAGACAGAATGCTATGAGAAAAGTTTCCCCGACTAGTTTTTGTATCCAATATGAATGAATGCTTCATTTGTGTTAGACACAGCTTGAAGCTACTTATGTACTAGTTTATTTTGTAAATTTGTGTCTTCTAGACTTTTTTGTTTTAGATTCCTTCTTATCATATACTTTTGACATGGTGGTGTATTTTTTTTTTTTTTTGTTTGCTTGCAGTCCTCGTATGGTTTTGTGGACTACTACGATCGTAGATCAGCTGCCCTTTCTATCGTGACTCTTAATGGAAGGCATCTGTGAGTATAGAACCTTTTAAATAACTTAATGAATTGCATGTTACATATGTCCTGGTGCTGTATTTAACATGTAGTTTGCAGGTTTGGGCAGCCTATCAAAGTTAACTGGGCGTATGCCAGTAGTCAGAGAGAGGATACGTCAGGTCTGTATATATTCACTTATTTAATTCCTTATACTACAAATTGATTCATTGTTGCCTTTTACATTAATTTGTTGATCACTTATGCTATTTCCACATTGGTCCTAGGTCACTTCAACATTTTTGTCGGCGATCTTAGCCCTGAAGTTACAGATGCTACCTTGTTTGCATGTTTCTCCGTTTATCATAGTTGCTCGTAAGCTCTGTTTTCCTGTTCTGTATTTTATCTTTGTACTTCTGATCGCCCAGGAGTTGAAACTGAATGTTACAGAAAGCTCAACATTTGTTTTTTTTATGCTAATTTGAAATGTGTTGGCAACTTGATGCTTACAGAGATGCGAGGGTTATGTGGGATCAAAAGACTGGACGATCGAGGGGCTTTGGGTTTGTTTCTTTTCGGAATCAACAGGTACTTTGAGCTTTATTTAATTATATTATTTTTATTTTCTTTCCTTCTTTTAGTTTGATGTTATTTGGCCTTCTTTCTTTTTTTAATTGGATCACATCGTGATTGTGTTATTTATTTATTGTTTTGGCCAGGATGCCCAAACTGCAATTAATGATTTGAATGGTGAGGAAGTTTTCATTACATCATTGTAGTTTGTTTCTGCTTTTGTTTCTTTCACTGTTTGTTTTCTCTCTCTGCATATTATCTTATAAAACGAGCTTTGGGAGCAGCCACTTTGGCTAAGTAATATCATATGCAATCAAGCAGAATCAGATTTGAATGCAACCAAAAAAAAAAAAAAAAAAAAAAAAAAAATTTGGAAAACTAAAAAAATGAAATAGAAAAGATACAAAATCAATAAAAGGTATCTAATAAGTTCTACCTACTATTGGATTTGATCCACTGATTGCCGCTGTATGAAATCAACACTCTAACCACTGAGTTAGTAGTTCATTTATCATCACAAAGAGAGGCGAATGGGACCCATTGCATCGATGAATTATAAATATCATATAAACAGATCAAAAAGCTATGATGTTGAATCATGGAATATTCATCTTGACAATAAAGTATCTACATGATAAAATTTGTATCACAGACACTAAGGGCTATAGCTCAGTTAGGTTGAGCACCTTGTTTACACATGTGCCAATGTTTTTTAGGGGAGTCCATCATACAATCAAAAGAATTGATCTTATTGAGAAATCACTGTCTTACAAATGGTTCAGTCCGATTCGGGTGCCCATTTAGTTGTCAAACAGGTTCTATCATTGATTGGAGACATTAGATTTGTCGTCATCTTCCTCTTCCCAGTACGCTTACTAGGCTGGAAATTTATGGGTGTTTGTGTGCATTTTGATTTGTTTGGACTCCCAGCTTTTCTTTTCAGTGTAATTTCCACTTGTCAATATGGCACATAAAATACCTTTGCCATTTATGTTCTGGAAGCTTTCTGTCGCTATCATTTCTATGATAATATGAAAAGGGTGATGTTACACCACATCTCATTTAGTTGTCATACAGGTTCTATCATTGATTGGAGACATTAGATTTGTCGTCATTCTTCCTCTTCCTATTACCCTTACTAGGCTGGAAATATATGGGTGACAAGCATATAAAAGAGCTATGCCTCCTTGTTTCGTGTGCGTTTTGGTTTGTTTTAGCTCAGCTTTTCTTTTCAGTGTAATTTCCACTTGTCAATATAGCACATAGAATACCTTTGCCATTTATGTTCTGGAAGCTTTCTGTCGCTATCATTTCTATGATAATATGAAAAGGGTGACGTGACACCTCTTCTCATTGAATATATTGGATGTAAAAAGACTTCCATTATTTGATAATGTAGCTATTCTAGTACAATATATTGTTCCAACGAGAATCTATCACTTAAGAGGAGCCAATTAACATAGGATTTGCTATAGTTGCCCTGTGTTGATTGCAGAAGTTTGAATGACCAGGATGACTTAAAATAACTATCATATCCGTTAAAATTATTTTTGAGAATTTTTTCTTTTAGGGGTGTCATTGGTTGAAATTTTGGGTCGGCTTCACTTGTCGTGCCTATTTTGGCTTTATATGATAGCATATATATCAATGTTGTGGCAATTGTCTCCTGTCAATGGCTACACCATTAGATAATTGTAATTGAAAATTTTAAAAAGTGCATCATTATTTTCGTACGATTTTTTTTTTTTTTTTTTATGATCACCCCTGTTACAATTTCATGTTTTCTTGTAAAATTGCGATACTTTCTGATCTAAAATTACAGGAAAGTGGCTTGGAAGCAGACAAATCCGGTGCAACTGGGCGACAAAGGGTGCTGGCAATGACAACAAGCAGAATTCGGATGTCAAAAGTGTCGTGGAACTAACCAATGGAACATCAGGTTTATTCATTAATGAATTTTCACTTCTAGCTAAATACCTAGTTGTGCAAGGGGAAAAGGTTTATTAATTTTAACTTTTATTACTGTGATTTTTTTGTTCTTTCCTTCTTTGCCTTGCTGGTTGTTAACATTAAATTTTTATATTGAATTGCCATGTGGTTTTTAATTGCTGCCATTGCAAATCACGGTTTTCCTTCTGTTCCATATTTATTGTCCATTTTTTGAAATTTAAACTCATTATTAAGAAAGTTACATTTAATGCATGCATGTTATATTGAGTGTGTCAAAATATTTTAAATTACACTCAAAAAATTTAGAGAATTACTTGTAAGGCAACTTTTGGAAAAGTAGTTTAATTGGATTTTCAAAATTAAAAAGGGTAGATTAGAAATGTTATAGAATTTGGTACATTTGCTTTTCAAAATGGACATGTATGATGGAACATTCAAAAATGAAAAGAGGGACCACCTAATTGGAACTGAGGGAATAATAATTAGGGTAAAATGCAAAAAAACCCCCTCAACTATGAGGAAATGCAAGAAACCTCTTGAATTATGCAAAAAAGTTGCAGATCACCCCATCCGTCACTGTTCTGGTTGGATCTTGTCGTTAAAGTATCACGTGATGGTCACATGACACCTACTATATTTTTAATGACCATAATGCCCTCATGACCATGAAAAGACACTAATGTCCCTTGTTTGCTGCAATAGTGCGAATTTACAGTTCTGGATTGTTGATTACATGGTCCGATTATGCGAATTGGGGTGTTGATTGTGGGGTTGTGATTGGGTGTAAGATTTGGTTTGTTTGATTGATTACAGTAGTGGTTTGTGGGTGTTTATGCACTTTTTTGGGGTGAGCACAGTGATCCAAATTGGTGATTAGGTGATTGATTTGGGTAGCAAGAGGCGATGAATTCCGGCCAGGGGCTCTCCTTCCGATGCCGGAAAACAGCATCATTGTGTCCTTCTTCGTTGCAGACCCACCATCCTCGCCGCCATGGTCTCATCTGTTGCATTGGTGTCACATTTTTATTGGTCTATTAAATTATCAACTGCCACATCAGCTATAACTTTCAAAACCACGTAGTTTTAAGTAAAGGTAAATTTGTCTTTTAATATTTCCAACCAAGTCACCTACCGGAATGCAACAAATCAATAATTCAGGGTTTTTTTTTGCAACAAAATCATAGTTCAAGGAGGTTTCTTGTAGTTCAGGGGGTTAGTTGCAAAACCCAATAGTTCAGAGAGGTTTTTTGCATTTGACCCTAATAATTATTAAAAGGTTTATTGGTGCACTTTAAATGTTTAGAAATATTTAGCATCGGCACAATGTCCAATTCAAGCTACACTTAAAGTGATGTCATTCTTATCATGTACAGATGCAGGTGGAGTAGAGACATTAAAATGAAACTTCTAAATAATCATAAAAATATGTAAAGAAATCAAACTAGTATTGAAGTTACATTTGTGGTATGGTTGCTCAAGGTATGGTTTTTACATTTTTTAAGCTGTTTTCATTATAAACTTCTCAACCAGACTGTTACTATTTTTGCAGAAGATGGTCAAGAGAGGGCCAGTGATGATGCTCCAGAGAATAATCCTCAGTATACTACTGTTTACGTTGGCAATCTTGCTCCAGAGGTGAGGATTTCTTGAACATATATATATTAAAAGAATATCGGTTTTATCAATTTATTATTTATTGGTTGTATATAATGAAAACTGCAAATGTTGTCCCAGCCTTGTGGTGGGACAAGGAGGGAACAGTGAATCCATGGGAAGCTATGGGTTGTTAGATTATTTTATATTGCTAAAGATGGGTTCAAAAGTGTCCATGCATGTGAGCCCATGCTCGACACAGTAAGTTGGATTATCTTCACTTTGCCTCCCTCTTCAAACAGCACTATTGGCACCGTTATGTATATCCGAGCCACCATTCTCTGAATGTTGCGTGGCACTGCCAATATCACTTTGGGAACACTCAATTTTGTTTGAATCTCCCAAACAGTTAGTGGGATCTCCTTCAATTTGCCTTATTTGTTCAAATAGCACCCTTGGCGCCCTTATATATTTCTGAGCCACCATTGCCAGTATCACTTCCTATGGCAATGTGGTAGCATCTTTGAATTCATTTTGTTAAAAATACAAGAAAAAGGTTTTTTGATCTAACCTGTATTCTCTTCTTTTCCTTTACTTTTTAAAATATTTTTACTCTATTATCTCCCCCTTTCTTAACTATTAACAAAGTGTGCAATAGTATTTATGTACCCTGGACTCAGTATGTGTGTTGGGTGTGGGGTATGTGGTTTGAGTGTAGGATGTATCAAATCCCTAAGTAGAAGGATACAAAGATACTGCTAAATATTTTTCTTCTATTTTCTAGAGTAAAGTAATGTTTTTCTGTAACATAGTGTTCAGAATAAGCATTTAACTCTTTTTGAAGCAATAATCTAAAAAAATGTTGAATAAATTTTTTTTTTCCTAGTTATTTATTTTTTTTTTATATAAAATTGATATCAAATTATTCATCAAATTAATATGTTTTTTGGGTACATGTCCAACCAAATATGTCAAGGCACGTACCTCATACCTTTGTCCATGTGTAGTGTGTTCAACATGGATATTTTGCACATTTTTGAAGAGTCCATGTTACCTAAGAGAGTACAAAAAGAACACTGTTCTAGTTCCTGCAGCAAATGTATACTTATGGACCATTACTGGCTTTAGTTTCCCTCTTGCCGTATTTTCAATAAGTTATGGTAGTATTAGTTCTGTTATTAATGACTAAATCAACTGAAGCATTACTGGCTTTAGTTTCCATCTTGCCATATTTTCAATAAGTTGGTTTTATGTTTACATCTCATATTTCCTGGGAGAAGTTTAGCAATATATTTTGAACATCCATCTTTAGCTTTGTTTCTCATGAGCAATATCTATCATAAACAATAATATTGCAGGTCACTTCAGTTGATCTCCACAGGCATTTCCATTCTCTTGGTGCTGGGGCTATTGAAGATGTAAGGGTACAAAGAGATAAAGGTTTTGGTTTTGTGCGATATAGTACTCATGCTGAAGCAGCTAGGGCTATTCAGATGGGAAATGCCCAGCTTCTCTTTGGCAAACCGATTAAGGTAATCTTTTATACCGTCAATTTTAATGTAAAGATAATTTCTACTTGTTGCAAATGTGAAATTGCGGAGCTTAGGATATTTCACCCAGTAGAGTTCCAAATAAGAGCATTGTGGCAATTACTAAATCTTTTGAGTTTTTGAATGCCAATTAAGCACATAGGGTAGCAAACTATATTCTCTCTCTATTCATGAGTTGGTAAAGAGAATTCTCAAGACATCCTGCTTGTACTAAAAGGCTTGATTGTTTATTTATGTTGCAGTGCTCATGGGGTAGCAAACCTACTCCGCCAGGGACCAGCTCTGCACCCCTACCCCCACCAACTGCTGCACATATGCCAGGTTTTTCAGCAACTGACCTTGCAGCATATGAACGACAGATGGCATTGAGTAAAATGGGTGGCATGCAAGCGCTTATGCATCTTCAGGGTCAGCGAATGGGTGCTGCTGGAGCAAGTCAGGCAATCTACGATGGTGGATATCCAAACATTGCTACGACCCAGCCGCCTATGTACTACCAGTAATAATCATATAGGAACCCCTACCATTGCTTGGCTGGCAGGAATCACATCTTTAAACAGTGTAGGATGTTCAACTTTTCTTTCTTTCTTCACTTTATATTTAGGTTTGTGTATTGCTATCAATATACCTGTGATGCGTGACGATATATATCATGTATTTGTATTGGGGATGAGATCTTGACCAAAGGTTGTTCCGAAGCTCCATTGTGGAAGGATTGGGCAGCTTTGATTTTAAGGGCATCCAAGTTATTACTTCAAACAATAGTTTTATTAGTCGAATGATAGGGGAACTTAATGTTTTCTTTGCTTTCTTTGTTGTGCAGGTTGCCCTTACTTTTTTAACTGGTTGTAGCAGTTATGGTTTGTGTTAATTAGGGCTTGATTTAACCCGCTTACCTAGATGCATAACACCTGCTCTTTCTAGTTTCTTTCTAGGGTTTTTGAGGGGTTTTTTGGGCACTCTTTTAATTGTCTTTATGCAGATTGAAGAATCTGTAAGGCCCAGTTTGGTTGGAGGGTAGTGGATGGAAAAGAAAAGAAAGGCAATGGAGGGAAATGAATTATTATGTTTGGTATAGATTATCAAACCAAAAGAAAGGAAACTGAGGTAGTCGGAATGATACAAATTAGACATGATGTGTAGGTTTTGTGTCCTTCCAAAAGTGGGAGGAAATTTGGGCTGTAAATAAGCCGAGCTGAGCATTGGGCTGTTTGGGCTTGGCTCAGCTCGGTCAATAGGAATGATTGAGCTTGGCTCGAGTTTGATTGAGCTTAGCCTGCACAGGATCGAGCTTGGTTCGAATGAGCTCGAGTTTGATTGAGTTTAGCCTGCACAGGATCGAGCTTGGTTCGAATGATCTCGAGCTCAGCTCGGCTGCTTGTTAATTTATTTATTTTTTTAATTTTTAAAAAATAATTGCATATATGAATCTGTGAGCTGCCATAATGCCATCGATCTTGATTTCCATAGTTCCATATCAGTGTTTCATCTCCAAAGCCTCTGTGTATGTATATAACTATATGTTTAAAGAAAGGAGAAAATCAAACAGAAATATATCATGATAAATAAATTCAACACAAACGTTCAAAAAGAAAAAGAGAAAAGTGAGACCAGATGAGAGGAGAAGAGAACTAAGCTGAGATGGTAGATTTTGCTGCTGTTACTGATTTCGTTGGGTTCGTTTTCGATTAGTGCTGCGGCTTCTGTCGCTGGGGGTTGGGGTTGTTTTGCGGCTGATAGTCAGTGGAGAGAACAGATAATGTTGTGGTTAGGGTTTAAAAAGATTAAGGGGGAATGGGCTTGGGAATAGAAAATGAGCTCGCATTTGGTTTTATTTTCCATAGGGTGAGATCTGGATGCACTTGTCCTGAGTAAAAGTTGGGTTGGGTTGGGTGGAATACACTTGGACTTGGCTTTCTTGGTGGTTTAAAATGAAATAATAATGTGGGATAATTGGCCGGTTAAAATTGACTAAAAAATTATATATATTTATATATTTCGAGCTCAAAATGAATCTTCTCACGTACAAATGAGTCGAACAAAGAGGTGTTTGAAATTGGCTCGTTTAATAAACTAGTCTAAGAATTTCGTTTGAGTTTGGTTCGTTTAGTAAACCCGGGCCGAGCTCGAGTTATATGTCGGAAGCTTGGTTCATTTACAGTCGTGGAGGAAATGTAAGGAAAGACTAGCATTTTTAATAAAACTTTGTTAATACTAAATTTAACCTTAATCTTTAAAAGACAAAACTATATATAAAAAAAGATAAGGATAGTAAAATCATTAAAATAATTTTATTTCCTTTTTTTTTAATTATCATTTTCTTTCTTTTTTAATTAATCAACCATATACAATAAGTAGTTAATTATACTATTTTCTCATTTCTTTTTTACCGTAATTAATATCATTTTTTCTCTTTTTCACGGTAACAAATGCATTAACAATTGATTTCATGCTTTAAATCTTCTACCTCTTTTTTTTACATGCTGCCCAAACCTCTCTGTTTTTTTTTACACACTATCCAACCAAAGATTTTTTTTTTTTTTTTTTTTGAAAGGTTACCCAACCAAAGATTATCAGCAGACGAGGTTTAACAAAAATCTTGGCTTATTACAACTAGGATGGCAGTGGAGTGGGTTCTGCTAAACCCTATTCCGCAATGTTGGAATATTGTCGTACCAATTTTGTTTCTATTTTGGGTCTGATTTATAATTCGTATACTATTCTCGTCCCTACTTCGATAGACAAAGTACCAATTCCACCACGTATATTTCGTTTAATTGCGAGGCGGATTATGCCACTTTTATTATGCAGTAAAAAACTAGCCCAATGTGTTCAAATTTGACTAATAAATAAGTTGACTCAACTTTTAAATTATTAAGTAATGAATATTAAAATATTAAATTAGACTTCCAACAAAATAATAAGGATCTTAAAAATATTAAATACAAATTATATATATATATATATAAATTAAAGATACATATATAATTGGGGCGGGATTGGGGCGAGTTTGTCACTAAATCCGTCCCTGCCCCAAATCCGCTTCAGGTTTTTGATTATTTATTATACCTGGCTCCAGCCCATTTAGAGGCTACCAAATCCATCCCATTAGGGACGGGGCGGGGCAAGGCGAAAACCTGTCTAATTACAATGGAGGCTTCGACGAAAGGAGTTCCAATTAATAGTGGATTTTTTAAGGTCTAATTTACGAGAAATTATTAGATGGTCTTAAACCATTTGATATTTGGTGGACCATATTGTTATTCAGATTTATTTATAATAAATACTTTCTTATGAGGTCATTTTCTCAATCAAAGAGTTTTAATTGAATTGATTCACCAAATATTAATGGTCAAGAGGTCATTTTTGAATTGATCAACCAAATATTAATGGTTCTGCCATCTAATAATTTATCCTAATTCACGGTGGAGTTGTGAAAAAATGCACAAGCGAATAATGAATGATTTACCTAACTTTTTCCCTTCACATAAATCTAAACTCCATGTCCCATTACCAATAAATTTATTTTTATTTATTTTTAAGTAAACAATGAATTACCCATCTTTCTTCACATAAATCTGAATTCTAATAAAAGCTTATTAGAACGCAAATTTTTTTTGGGCGAGTGGAATGCATATAGGACTTTAGCTGTAACTTTGAGAAGAACAATAAGGCGCATTCAATTGTTCTAATAAAATTATTTTCCATTATGAGAAAGGAGTTGAATTCATACAAACAACAATTATTTACATGACTGACTTTGCTCGAAACTTATTAACTACTTACCAAAAAAACCTCTTAAATTAACTACTATTTAAATTATGATACGAAAATATTTGGATAGCTCTAGAATATTGACTAGGATTTTCATTTAATATAGGGATTTGGATAAGTTCGAATTTTAAAATACTTATAAAATTTGGATAATATACTTGGAATTTTAAACCAACATTACTTTCTACTCGATCAGGAAGACTTTGAATTACTTTAGAATTGTGATACTGCTCTAATATATATATATATATATATATATATACAGTCGAGCTGAGTTAACATTATTATTATTAGCCCTCTCTAAAATCTTAGAGATGGCTTATTCTAAAGGTTGCTTTTATGCTCTTTGTTTTGCCATTACTCTATTGGTTTTCTGTCCTCCTATCTTCTCCATTGAAGTTTCTCATGATGGAAGAGCTATCACCATTGATGGTCAACGTAAAATTCTACTGTCCGGTTCAATTCACTATCCCCGAAGCACAACTGAGGTAAAATTTATCTTAAATATATGATATAATATATATATATATATATATTTCGTCCGGGGAAAAGCCATCTTTTTTGATGGACTTTATCCATTAGATAATGAAGAAAACACAAAACCATTCATATGTGATATTATTATTTAACAGAGAATATATTGTTAGAATTTTAAAAAGTGGTGAAATTTTTTGTTTAGTTTTCTTTATGAAATTTCACTAATTTGTATTCTATATATAACTTGATGAAACATATGGTTTTTCTTTATGTCGGTTCATTAATTTTGTTTTGTGTTTAAAATAATGTTAGATGTGGCCTGATCTGATAAATAAAGCAAAAGAAGGTGGAATAGATACAATTGAAACCTATGTTTTCTGGAATGCGCATGAACCACTGCGTCGTCAATACGATTTTACGGGCAATCTTGATCTTGTAAGGTTTATCAAAACCATTCAAGATGCTGGACTTTATGCTGTTCTTCGTATAGGACCATATGTCTGTGCTGAATGGAATTATGGGTAATTAAATTTCTTTCATTATCAATTTTTTTTTTTCATATCTTCTACTAATTATGACTTCGTATTCACTTTATCATATTATGTACCATTTTTTCCTTTTTTCTTTACATAGAGGATTACCTGTGTGGCTCCATAATATTCCTGGAATCGAACTTCGTACCGCAAATGGTCCTTATATGGTAAATATAACTTCCTTTTTTTTCAAGCATTACTGTAAAAATTCTGTATAAGTTGTAACATATTTTTATATGTTTAGGATGAGATGAAAAATTTTACAACCTTGATAGTAGACATGATGAAAAAAGAAAAGCTTTATGCATCACAAGGAGGCCCTATTATAATTTCTCAGGTATGTATAATTATTTTCATTTATTATTGAATATATATATATATATATTTGGGATTTTCCTTTTTTGTGCTTACAATTCAATTTAAACAGATTGAGAATGAATATGGGAATGTAATGACATCCTATGGTGATGCTGGGAAAGCTTATATTGATTGGTGTGCTAAGATGGCTGATTCTCTAGATATTGGAATTCCATGGATTATGTGCCAACAAAAAGATGCTCCACAGCCAATGGTATTTTTCTTATATATATATATATATATATATATTAATTATGAAAACAAATATTTCAAGTCTTTTCCATTAAAATTTAATTTATTTTTTTCTGCATTTACTTTATTGACAGATAAACACATGCAATGGTTGGTACTGTGATTCATTCACTCCAAACAATCCCAATAGTCCCAAGATGTGGACTGAAAATTGGACTGGATGGTTAGTTTATTAATTTTTTTTTTCTTTTTATAATTTCCTTATTTAGTTTATTTAAACATAATTAATACTGTTTTTTGAACAATAATTTTAGGTTTAAGAATTGGGGTGGTAAAGATCCACATAGGACTGCCGAGGATGTTGCTTATGCTGTTGCACGGTTCTATCAAACTGGTGGCACATTCCAGAATTACTATATGGTAAATCTTTATTTATTTTAAATGCTGTCATACGATTACCATATATTTATTTATTTTAAATTTTCATTTTTACAATTGTGCTGTTTCATTTCAGTATCATGGCGGAACTAACTTTGGAAGAACAGCTGGTGGTCCATACATCACCACATCTTATGATTATGATGCACCTCTTGATGAATATGGTTAGATATACTTGAACTTCCAAATATTAGAAATATATGGATTTTAATCCTGCATTATTGTTATTGTTACTAATATTTTAAATATTTAGGTAATTTAAATCAACCAAAATGGGGACATCTAAAGGAGCTCCATAATGTATTGAAGTCGATCGAGAAGACACTCACTTATGGAAACATATCCACATCTGATTTGGGGAATGATATTTCGGTGAGATAATATATTATAACATTATTTTTTATATATCATTTGTTATATTGTAAATAATGTTTATTAAATCTTTCTAATAATTAATAATCATGTTTTAAATTTTTTTAGGCAACCATATATGCTACCAACGATACATCAAGCTGCTTTATCAGCAATTCTAATACCACTACGGATGCTACAGTCAACTTTCAAGGAAGTAAATATAATGTTCCTGCTTGGTCTGTTAGCATTCTTCCAGATTGCAAGAATGAAGTTTATAATAGTGCAAAGGTAAATTACCATGAATTATTGTAAAAATTAATATTATATATATATATATATATATATAGCTATTGATACATATATATGTGTGTTTATATAGGTGAACACTCAAACTTCTGTGATGGTAAAGAAGTCAAATGAAGCAGAAAGTGAACCAAGTTCTCTTAAATGGGTGTGGAGGCCCGAGAACGTTGATGAAACGGTGTTACATGGCAAGGGTGATGTTGCAGCAAGTCAGCTCATAGATCAAAAGGTTACTAATGATGTTAGTGATTATTTGTGGTACATGACAAGGTAAATATCTCACAATTCTTCTTAGAAAATTGTCAATTACTTATTTTCTGATTCAATTTTCTAAGTTACAATATATATATATATATATATATTTTCAATATCGTTTTTATAGCGTAAACATCAAGGATGATGATCCCATCTGGAGTGATAATATGACCATCAGAGTTAATGGTACTGGTCATGTTCTTCATGCTTATATCAATGGCGAACATATAGGTAAATATCAAATCACTTTCGACTTAAATTATTAATTATTAGTATTTTTTTTTTTTTTGTATTCTTTATATAACATATGATTGAAATTGTAGGTTCTGAATGGGCAACATATGGCATCTTCAACTACGTGTTTGAGAAGAAGGTTAAGCTGAATCCTGGAAAGAATCAAATATCCCTACTCAGTGCTACTGTTGGGCTACAGGTATTTTTTTAATTTAATTTAATTATTTATTAATTTTTATATTGATTTGAAATGTTTGGTAATAATGAGTGTTGTATTATGCAGAACTATGGTCCTAATTATGATGAGGTACAATCGGGGTTACCAGGACCAGTTGAGCTGATCGGAAGGAAAGGTGACGAGAGAGTGATAATGGACTTGTCAGCGCATAAATGGGTGTACAAGGTGGGAGTAAGTGGCATTGATGATAATAAGTTGTACACTGAGGACTCACGGAATGAAACCAAGTGGTACGTAGAGGATCTCCCCACCAACAGGATGATGACTTGGTATAAGGTATTTTAAACAAAATTTTTATTATTTTTTAAATTCATTTTTACATTGAAAAAAAAAATAAAAGAAATAATTGTACATATGTTTTTTCTTTTTCATTTTGTGTGTTGTTATTAGACTACTTTCAAAGCTCCATTGGGAAAAGAAGCAGTAGTGTTAGACTTGCAAGGGTTGGGCAAAGGTTTTGCTTGGGTGAATGGTCACAACATTGGACGATACTGGCCTAGCTTTCTAGCTCAGGAGGATGGTTGTAGCACTGATGCTTGTGATTATCGTGGTGAATACGACGACAAAAAATGTGTCTACAACTGTGGTCAACCCACACAAAGATGGTGAGATATAATTTATTTCAATTTCATCGTTTTTTTATTATATTAATTGAAAATGAATAATACCTTGCTAATTTTATTAAAATAATAATAATAATAATAATATTCAGGTACCATGTTCCACGGTCGTTTATGACCAACGATGTAAACACATTGATTCTATTTGAGGAGTTTGGAGGCAACCCATCTCTAGTGAACTTCCAAACTGTTGAGGTTGGGACAGCTTGTGGAAATGCTTACGAAAACAACCACATGGAATTGTCATGCCATGGTCGACCCATTTCAGCCATCAAGTTCGCTAGTTTCGGAGACGTACAAGGCACATGTGGCTCACTCCAAAAGGGCACTTGCCAAGCCAATAATGATGCATCCTCCATAGTCCAAAAAGTAAATACTCTCTCTCTCTCTCTCTCTCTCTGTTTGTGTGTTTATTATATAGTGAACAACTTTTAATAGAAATTCTTAATTAAATTAATATAATTTTGTAGGCATGTGTTGGAAAGGAGACCTGCAGCGTCAAGGCTTCCGAAGAAGTTTTTGGGGCGACTGGCTGTGCTGGGGATGTTGCCAAGAGGCTTGTGGTGGAGGCAGTTTGCTAGGGAATCTTTTTTCTTTCTTTTTTTAGTTAATTTTGGTAAATGGTAGATTTTTTTACCAGATTGTTACTCTAGTGGGTGGTTAATTTTTTAATTTCAAATTTTAATTAGTCTTTTGCTACTCGATTTTTTTTTTTTTTTTTCTAAATAAATAATTATCATAGTTTTCTTAGCACATATCTCTCCATTTATTTATTATTATTACTATTGCATCACTTTTATATATTCAGTATTCAATAATCCACGGGGTTCTTCTTTTCAGACTACAAAGAATAATGGTCCATTTGCTAAGGGTCCGTTTGGCATGCGTTTTGTTTTTGGCTAAAACAGAAATAATGTTTTTGTTGTAGGAGTGTTTTTGGGGACTATATTTTGCTGTAGAAATGGGAGAAACAAAAACATGCAAAACATGTTTGGTCTCACAAATATATATATATACTAGGAAAAGGCACGTGTGATGCACGTAGTGAATGTTTTGTAACTTATAAAATTTTTGTTTATATATATATATATATATATTTTCTAATTGTTGATTTAAAGCTTGTAACAATAAACATTACAAATAAATTGCAATTTTTTGTAACTCTTTTTATATTGATTAATAAATATTTATTTTATATTAATAAATAAATACTGAAATATTTTGAAATTGGTGATAGAGTTCAAGTTTCGTAAATTAATACATTCTTTTACGTTTTTATATTAATACTGAAATATGTATATATTATTTTTTATTAATTAATAATTTTTTTTATTTTAATAGTGAAATATTTGAGTTTTGCAAAGTAATAAATTCTTTAGGTAATTTGAATTTTATTAGGTAATTTGTAATTTAGTATAATTTTTAATTTACAATAGAAATTCAATTATATTAATTTTTAATTAAATTTTAAAATAGAAATTCAATTACACTAATCATACATTAGATTGAAATTAATATAAAAGTTTATTATATGGAGTTTGTGGTTTTTGGAAGTATACTTTATTTTCTTTAAATAGGTAATTTGTGGTAGAGCTTTATAAAAATTATTTTATTTTATTTAGATATATATTTGTAAAATTAGATTTTTTTTAAATTAAAAAACTCATAATAAATATATAAATACAAGGGTTATATATACTTATATGTAATAAAGTTCTCTTTTTATATTAATTAATAAATATTTTTTATATTAAAAAATAAATACCGAAATGTTTAAATTCTTTAATATTTATATTTTATTTATATGTATTATTATATTATCACATATTTTTTTTAAATATATCCTTGTCTAATGTGATAGACTTATAAAAATTATTTTATTTTATTTAAATATATCCTTATTTAATTAGATTTTCATTTATTAGAAAATCCATAATAAATAGATAAATACAGGTTATATGTGATAGAGTTTTACAGAAAATAAAATAGTTAATTTGTGGTAAAGTTTTGGTAATTTGTGTTAAAGTTTTATAAAAACTCTTTAAATATATCATTATTTAATGTGATAGAGTTTCATTGCAAATAAAATAGGTAATTTGTGGTAGAATATTATATAAATTATTTATTTTCTTTAAATATATATATCCTTGTCTAATTAGATTTTCTTTTATTAAAAAACTCATAATAAAAGATAATTTGTGGTAGAGTTTTTGAGAAATTATTATATTTTTTATATCATTTATTAAATATTTTTTATATTAATAATTCTTGTCTAGTTATATTATATTTTATTAAAACACTCATAATAAAACATAAATAGGTAATTTGTATTAGAGTTTTATATAAACTCTTTTTAAAAAATATTTTATTTTTTTTAAATATATTGTTGTCTAATTAGATTTCCTTCATTAAAAAATAAATAGATAAAAACAAGTTATATGTGATAGAGTTTTAAAGAAAATAAAATAGATAATTTGTGGTACAATTTTATAGAAATTATTTTATTTTCTGAAAATCTATTTATAATAAAAAAATAAATAGGTAATTTGTGTTACAGTTTAATAAAAACTCTTTAAAAAACACTTTTTATATCAATTAATAAATATTGTTTTATATTAATAACTCTTCTACAATTAGATTTCCTTTTACTAAAAAAAACTCATAATAAATAGATAAATAGGTAATTTGTGTTAGAGTTTTATAGAAACTCTTTTCAAACATTTTTTTATCTTAATTAATAAATAATATTTTATCTTAATAATGCTTGTCATAGAAACTCTTTAAATATTATATCTTTGTCGGGTGTGATAGAGTTTTATTGAAAATAAAATATGTGATTTGTGATATAGTTTTATAAAAATTATTTTATTTTCTTTAAAAATATCCTTGTCTAATTAGATTTAATTTTATTAAGAAATTCATAATAAAAGTTAATTTGTGGTAGAGTTTAGAAAAATTATTTTATTTTATATATCAATTAATAAATATTTTTTATATTAATAATTCTTGTCTAATTAGATATTTTCTTTTATTAAAAAATTCATAATAATAAATAGATAAATAGGTTAACTTAAATTTTATTAGATAGATTTTAGAGTTTGATTGATTTTTTTTTATTTTTTATTTTTTTATAAAAAAACTCTTTGCATATCAATTAATAAATATTTTTTTATATATATAAATAGAAACTTAAATACTGAAACTCTTTGCACATGTAATAATATTATAGATAAAACTTTTTTTTATATCAATTAATAAATATTTTTTACAAAAATTAATAAATACTAAAACAACTTGGCATAATTTCTGTATTTTACCCTGAAAATTAGATTTTCTTTTATTAAAAAATTCATAATAATAAATAGGTTAATTTGAATTTTATTAGATAGATTTTAGACTTTTATAGAGTTTTTCTTTTCTTTTTTTTTTATATATATTTTTTTTAATAAAAACTCTTTTCATATCAATTAATAAAACTTTTTTGTAAAAATAAATAAATACTGAAATACTGAAATTCTTTTCACATTTAATAAATATTTTTTAAATAAATAAATAAATACTAAATCTTTATATTTACTTTTATTAAAAAAATTCATAATAATAAATAGATAAATAGGTTAATTTGAATTTTATTAGGTACATTTTAGAGCATTATAGAGTTTTTTTTTCGTTTTTTTTATTTTTTATTTATAAAAACACTTTTCATATCAATTAATAAATATTTTTTTATATAAATAAATAAATACTGAAACTCTTTGCATATTTAATATTTTATTTTCTTTAAATATATCTTTGTCTAATTAAATTTAATTTTATTAAGAAACTCATAATAAAAGTTAATTTGTGGTAGAGTTTTCAAAAAATTATTTTATTTTATATATCAATTAATAAATATTTTTTATATTAATAATTCTTGTCTAATTCAATTTTATTTTATTAAAAAATTCATAATAGTAAATAGATAAATAGGTTAATTTAAATTTTATTAGATAGATTTTGCAGTTTGATAGAGTTTTTTTTTTTTTTTTTGAAAAACACTCTTCATATCAATTAATAAATATATTTTTATATAAATAGATACTTAAATACTGAAACTCTTTGCACATTTAATAGTAGTATAGATAAAAACTTTTTTATAACAATTATTTTTTTATATAAATAAATAAACACGAAAACACTTTGGTAGAGTTTCTATATTTTACTCTGAAAATTAGATTTTCTTTTATTAAAAAATTGTAATATGTAATACGTGTTAGAGTGTTATAGAATTATATTTTTAAACTCTATTTATATGAATTAATAAATATTTTTATATTTTAGTAATTCCTATCTAATTAGATTAGCTTTTATTAAAAAAAATTGATAATAAAAGGTCATTTGTGGTAGAGTTTTAGAAAAATTATTTTATATTTTATATCAATTAAAAATATTTTTTATATGAATAATTCTTGTCTAATTTGATTTTATTTTATTAAAGTACTTATAATAAATAAATAGGTAATTTGTATTAGAATTTAATATAAACTCTTTTAAAAACTCTTTTTATATCAATTAATAAATATTTTTTATTTTAATAATTCTTGTCTAATTGGATTTAGTTTTATTAAAAAACTAATAATAAATAGACAAATAGGTTATTTGTGTTAGAGTTTTTTAAAACCTCTTTTTGTATCAGTTAATAAATAATTTTTTATATTAATAATACTTGTCTAATTAGGTTTCCTTTTATTAAAAAACTCATAATAAATAGATAAGTAGGTAATTTGTATTAGAGTTTTATAGAAACTCTGTTGATAGAGTTTTATTAAAAATAAAATAGGTAATTTATAATAGAGTTTTATAGAAATTATTTTATTTTCTTTAAATATATACTTGTCCAATAAGATTTAATTTTATTAAGAAACTCATAGTAGAGTTTTATAAAAATTATTTTATTTTATATATCAATTAAAAAATAATTTTTACATTAATAATTCGTCTAATTAGATTTTCTTTTATTAAAAAATTGATAATAATAAATTGATAAATAGGTTAATTTAAATTTTATTATTTAGATTTTAGTGTTTTATCATATCATTTAATAAATATTTTTTTATATAAGTAAATAAATATTGAAACTCTTTATACATATAATAATAGTATAGATAAAAACTCTTTTTATATCAATTAATAAATATTATTTTTTTTGTATAAATTAATAGTAAAACTCTTTGACTAGAATTCAACTCTTTTTATATCAATTAATAACTATTGTTTTTATATAAATAAATATTGAAATACTGAAACTATTTGGCAGAGTTTCTGTATTTTACTCTGGAATTCTAGATTTCTAGAATTCTCAATTTCTGTACCCCTTCCTCCTTCCTCCATGCCTCTATTTATAGGTTTCTCAGATGAATAGGATGATAACATGTGTACTTTCCTGATAATGACATAATCATAACTGGGCCGGGCCAGTTATATTGTGATAATTATCCATAAAAAATAAGTAAAAATAAGAGTTTTATATAAAATGTGATTGATTTTATTAGGTAATTTTTAGAGTTTTACATAAACTATAATTATCCATAAAAAATAGCTAAAAATAAGAATTTTATATAGAATGTGATTGATTTTATTAGGTAATTTTTAGAATTTTATAGAAACTATTTTTATATCAATTAATAAATATTTTTTTATATAAATAAATAAATACTGAAATACTAAACACTGAAACACTTTGCACATTTAATAATAGTATAGTAAATATTTTTTTTTTATATAAATTAATAAAGATTGAAATACTGAAATATCGAAACACTGAAACATTTTGCACATTTAATAATAGTAATTCTAATTCATTTTAGATCCGACCAAAATAGGATATTCGGGATGTATATATATGTATATATATATATATATATATATATATATATATATATATATATTTTTTTTTTAATTTTTGCAATAAACTATTAGGTAACAGCAGGCGA